GTGTATCCCAGTTTCGTGGAAGTCCTTCCCCTGGCTGTCCCAAACCACCTCCACAGGTGCTACAAACTCATTAAAAACATCTTAGTTCTCGCTACCGCTAAACAAAGATCTGAGGACATCCCATTACGGGTCACGTCGGACCGACATTGCGCGAACTTTGACCGACCAATGGAATGACCAATCAGAATGCAGCTTTCTCGTGCTTTACGGCACTAATTTCAAATTGGCGACTACGCTTCGAAGCATATTTTGACAAATTCTCGATTACAAATTTGAAACCTGAACAAAACAACATTCTAGAATGACTAATAGATGGTCTAGATTGTAAGGATTCAGTCGTTAGACCCGTAACTATCGTTCGGAATACCCCATGTTAAAGTTTTCGAGATTGCATGATATCACATTCCGACTGTCACTTTCATAATCTGGTAAGCGACGCATTGATTGGTCGGATGAAAGGTCGTTCTGACGCGACCCCTTATGGGATGTCTTCAGATCTTTGTTTAGCGGTAGCGAGAACTAAGATCTGATTTTAATGACATTGCAGGTGTTATGACGTCATCGTTCCGAGTCGAAATGGGTTCCGGCTAAGTTTTCTTCATATTTTGGAACAGATGGAGACTGAAGGGGGTTCTGAAGAAGCCACAGTCGTGGATTGTAGTCCTGGCAATGACTGATTTGTGCACTGACGCCTTGTCTGGTGGAAGAGCTGACTTTTACTCAGCTTCCCGCGTCTCTTATTCTTCAATTCATCCTGTAATTGCCTCACACGTGCAGCATAGTGTGCTCTGTATATTGTCTGGCCTTTTGGGTGGAACTATTTTTGCCTTCCTTGGAGGTGGTGATGTCGAATGCTTCCACTGTTTTGATTGTTGTTTGGACTCAGACTGGAAGTGGTGAACCCAGGTTCACAAATCGTTGCAGGAACCTGAATTATTACCACCAAAGATTTCCAAAGCATTGTTATTTCATGCTGTGTAAATATGGTGAATCAAGTTATAAAAATTGGGCTTCTTTTGTAAGATATACATTGTTTAGTTATGGCTTGGTAATGTATGGGTGGTGCAAGATGTCGGAGACTGTGGTGCTATTATTTATATATTTAAGCAAACAACAAGAGATTTGTTCATGCAAGAATGGTCAGATTGTATATCAGATTCACCAAGGCTAGAATCATATTGCACCCACAAATCCTTACTACAATCTGAAAAATATCTATTATCGATTAAGACTGTGAATTTAAGAAGAGCTCCAACAATATTTCGATGTTCGAATGATTTTGAAATACAAAAACATAGAATTACTAGTGACCATAGCTTTGCTGACAGTCCATCCATTTTCTGTAAAGAAGACTTAGATGATGAATAATATGCACTATTTATATGTCCAGCTTATATTAACTCAAGGTCAAGATATTTGCCCTCGTATTATTATCAATATCCTACCATGCACAAGTTCGGATCGTTACTCACAACAAATGACGACAGCATTTTATTCCAGCAATGTTTAAAAACCAATATAAATTGAAGCGCTCTGTCACAATGTGCATAATATTATCCACTCATCTGTACTATTGGCCTCATGTCCAGACTATACGAAATAAATTGTGTTCTGTTCCTTTCTGGGTCGGCTTCATACAGTTCACCCTGCAGTTTTTATCAGACGTCAGAAGCTTTGGAACCCAACGAGCTGCTACTTTCTTCTTCGCAAAAGTTAACTGCTGTGATAATGAAATGTACTCGGTCGTGGGAAATGCCAACTGAACATTCGACCGCCGTCATCACTATGTCATGGATTCCCTAGATCATTTCTGGTCTTGATGACGTTGCAGGCCTTCCATGACGTTGTTGTCGTCTTCAGGGGCTCTCCCTGCCACGCTTAAACTCTGCTGCCCACCTCTTTACGGTGGCATAGGGAGGGGCATTCTTCCCAAGTGTTCTAACCAGTATCTTCATGTGTAGCATTTTGGTATTAAGCCCTTTTACTGCAAGGAATTGATCACTGCGCGTTCCTCAAGTTTGTCCATTTTCCTAAGGTCACAGACCCCTGCGTTTTACTGACCTGTTACAAAGATACAATTTGCTCAACTTACTCATGTTTTGTTGGTATGACACTATGCACTGTCCACAACAATAGATTATGCAAGTCCTTCCATGTGAGGCTCAGAACTTATCAACCACCCCTTGTATGTGCGTGTAAAGGTAGTTGTTGTTTGTTGTTTATCGCCGCACTCAGCAATATTCCAGCTAAATGACGGCGGTCTGTAAATAATCGAGTCTGGACCAGACAATCCAGTGATTGACATCATGAGCATCGATCCACGCAGTTGGGATACGATGACATGCATCAACCAAGTCAGCGAGCCTGACCATCGGATCCCGTTAGTCGCTTCTTACGACAAGCATAATCACCTTATGACAAGCTGAAGACCTATTCTAACCCGGAAGTTCACGGGGACACCCATTGTTTACGATCATAATCGATGTGAAACCTGATTTCAAGGTGTTAAAAATGAAGCAGGGCCGTTGTGGTTAATGTGAGCACTGATCCACGCCGCTGGGGTACAAGGACACGCTAGCAACCAAGTCGCCGAGCCTGACCACCCGATCCATTAGTCGTCTCGTACGCCAACCATAGCTTGCTGGGGATGATTCTAACCTGGAATCTCCACGGTCGTTGTGAACGGCTCCCAACTGGATACATACCACATACAGAGGAACCCCAGATTCCCTCTGAGCATGTTCTAGCCTTGTCAGTAGAGCTGTAGTTACCGTATCCTCTCATCGGTTCCTCGTTTGATATGTTGTTTCCTCGTTTAATATGTTGTTTCCTCGTTTAATATGTTGTTTCCTCGTTTAATATGTTGTTTCTTTCTGTATGTCACAACCAGGCGCTACGAAAAGCAAGCCCAGCGAATTTGCCCTGTAGGATTTACGGCGCACTTCTACATCTCCGATTGGCTAAAAATCGCAAAATATTTTTAGAATCTATCTATCTATGTATCAGTCTCTTTATCAGTCATAACCAAATACATATACTCTTTTTCATCGAAAACAAAAACCGGTGAGGTTTTCGCCATCTTGTTTTCCAAAACCCTTTTTTTTCTCGATCTAGAATCCTTATTTAAAGTGCACTTTGGATGACAAAAAGCATACGGTAACCGCAGCAGGGTTTGTCGGGACCCTACCCATACACGTGGCCTTCAGGAAAGTGTTAAACGTCTAAGACCTGCATCACTTCGGAGTTCCCACCCACATCAATCTGTCACGCCGTGGTAATCAGAGGGTCCAACCCCCTCCTCCCCGATATCCCGAATACCAATGTCTAAGTTTTCACTCTGAGTCTCATTTGCTCAGCCCTGAATCCCGAATACTGATCAACACAAATCTCAAAACAAAGGGGAGAAAAGGGTGCAATTTCAAGTGAAATTACCGAAGTAATAAAAAAAAAAAAAAAATACAATCTAGACCATCTATTAGCCATTCCAGAATGTTCATTTGTTCAGGTTTCAAATTTTTAATCGAGAATTTGTCAAAATATGTTTCGAAGCGTATTCGCCAATTTGAAATTAGTTCCGTAAAGCACGAGAAAGCTTCCTTCAGAATGGTCATTCCATTGGTTGGTCAAAGTTCGCGCAAGGTCGGTCTGACGTGACCCGTAATGGGATGTCCTCAGATCTTTGTTAAGTGGTAGCGAGAAGTAAGATCTTATTTTAATGAGATTGATATATAAAGGAAACTTTGGCGCACACCATTATTTTATTTTAAATGTTGAATCTGTGTACCAAATGGTCCCGCGTACCGAATACCCTCTAAATGTACCCCTGAATCCCGCGCACGAAAAGGGGGTTGGCAGCCTCTTAACCGACCCAACTATGTACCTCACGGTACTTACATACACGTAATGGGGCGGTCGGGTAGCCCAGTGGTTAAATCGTTCGCTCGTCATGCCGAAGACTCGGGTTCGATTCCCGACATGGGTACAATGTGTGAAACCCATTTCTGGTGTCCCCCGCCGTGATATTGCTGGAATATTGCTAAAAGCGGCGTAAAACCATACTCACTCACTCACATACACGTAATACAACCAAGTTGTAGGTGCACAGTGCACACAGTCTGTTTGGGGGTGGTTGTGTAATACCGGTCGATACTGTGTGACTATAAACATTAATCCCACAACGTTTTTGGCTTTCGAGCCTCTTCAACCGCGTGTCTGCTGCAACTTTAAACCGCTACTTCCTAAACCGGTCTTATAATGTCAGTGCGACCGACGCCTGACCCATAATTAGTTCCGACTATATGTACTTATACCCGACTTCTAATCCAGACAGACATGCGACTTCAATCAGAACTTATCTAACCCCAAAGCAACGTATGTGTCCGAATCAGTTGGTATAAGCTGGTATATTAATCCTTACATCCTGCGGGGAATGAATGGATCAAAATTATTCTTTTATGTGTGTTGCGTTAATTCCAGCGTTTCACAAACTTCTAAAATACCAAGATAATACATATATTACTGATGTTAAATTTTAAGAATTTTCCTTCTTCTATGCCGTAACTTGCCGAAGGTCAGTGTAAACAATTTTTTTGACTTTTTTTCCATTTTCTTCTCTCCAAAATGTCTGTTAAGGCGTCTCTTGCGACAAGCATAAGTTTGCTGGGGACCTATATTCTTACCCGGAATCTCCATGGGTTGAATAATTTATTATGATCTAATTGGGGAGTTTATTTAATAATTTATCATGATTTAATTGGGGAGTTTATTGAATAATTTTTTATGATCTAATTGGGGAGTTTACTTAATAATTTATCATGATTTAATTGGGGAGTTTATTGAATACTTTATTATGATCTAATTTGGGAGTTCCCCTGATTGAGAATGTGTCTATTTTTAGAAAGTTTCCGACTAGTGGCCTTGACCTTCACTGAAACGAGGTTATTCCCGCCATTGATCCAATCCGGTACTGTTCCGACTTCATACTTCTATTTGATTTTCAGTATGGCCGATTACCTAATCACGGGGGGAACTGGTTACATCCCCGACGATGGCTTGACGGGTGCCCAGCTCTTTGGCGGCGGCGATGGGATGACTTACAAGTGAGTAGACATCATATATTCATTGATCGTTACGTGATAGACACGTGGGCCCAAACTGGACATGTGGAAAGATTGAGTTCCGAATGTAAACAACACAAACACAACGACGCATTTGTTGCTAGAATGTTCGTAAATAATGTATTCATGATCATGGGATATTTCATTTATTCGGACCGTATACGAATCAGATTTAGTTTCACTAAACATTTCCTCGTGGAAGTAAATAACTGGTTCTAAAAATAATTGGAATTGACGTGACTCACTACCAACATTGCACTTGAGACCCCACCTGGGCACTCCTTGTTTATTTGCTTGTTGCGATGGCACAAACAGTTACATTGTTTGAGGTTGCGTTTATATGTTGGTTCAGGTCGAACACAACAATTACTGCCTCTTTCCCCCGTATGTGTGCAGCATAAACGTAGGCTAGGCCTAGTTGTCCATATCCTGGAGAGAACCCAGAGCTTTTTCAAAATCGGTGTATTTAGCTTTTGTTCCACATTCTCAAGCCCCTTAGTTGTGAAGTCTTGTCATTTTCCAAATCTTACACTGTGTGTAGATATTGTTGATTTGATACATGGTATCTGCAGATTTTATCTTATAGTTTTGATTCTTCCACTATAAAATTTCAAGTAAAAACAATTTTGTTTTCAAGTCTATACATAACATACAATTTTGAAATGAATATGCATCGATGGAAAGAAAAAATATCTACTTTTGAAGCAGACCTCAAGAGGATTCTTTCAATAAGCTATTCATGTTCCTGAAGCATTTATGTTCGTGCAAGAATTCTTGAAAATGTACCAGAATAAACCTGTCGTATGAGATCTAATCACACTGAGTCTAGTCATATAGTCTAAATGTAACATAATCTGAGACGGAAACGATATAATTATTTGAAATAAAATTCAAAATATCAACATCATTTTGTGACCCATTAAACGTGTTAAAAGCGTTAAGATTTTACAAAATTATTAACATAATATTTATATTTCTAACATATTCAAGTTTTTGACAAATGACACCATAATGAAATATATTTACTGGATATGATGAAGATTTGGTCATGTAACAGGTTTTAAAAACAATTAATTAAATCCTGTGTACTTATTTACACTCGTCCTGTCATTAATCAGTACAAAGTGATATGAATATTGATTATGATAAGCTACACTTGAATGGGAATATGGAAAGGTGAAATCCTCCCCTCTTTGCTAAATGATAATTGTTTTGACACAACTTTTTAAAAGATTGGCAATGTCTATTCTAAGGCCCACAGAAGCATTTCCCGTGTTTTATCCAACTTATGAACCTTCTAACTGCAAGAAATGACAGAACATCTACATACCTTATGGTGTAACAATACAGTGTGTCGCAGTATTAGAGGAATTCGAGCAAAGTGTGCAAGAGAAAAAACACGTGCAGCATGGCCCAGCTGGAGTCATGACATGTAAAATTGAACAACTTCTCATCACCTGTCCCGGTAGCTCAGTGGGAAAACAGTGGGTTAAAAAAATTAATAGGATGTGTGAGATTGTAGGTTCGATTCATGTCATAGAATTTTCATGTAAAAAATTGTGACTTTTAACCAATCATCAAACACAATTGTGTTTATGTCAAGAGGCAAATTTATAAAACGTTAATTGTAAAACCTAGGTATTACAATTGAAATGTAAAATCTCAAAGCAGGTTTAGAAGTGACCCATTTAAAAACCTAAGTTTGGAAGAGAACCCCTTCAAAATCTCTGTTTGGAGAAGGAGCTGGTTACTAGGTTTACCCGAGGTTATCCGGAACTTAATGCCATATGGGTAATACAGTGATAGGTTTATAATCTGGGTTAGAACTGGTGCTCAGTAAGTAAGCTTATTGTAAGAGGTGACTGAAAGTGATCAGTGTCATGGTTGACCAACCCTAAATCAGCCTGTGACAAAAACATCTTCAGTAGATGTTTTAGTCGTTATGTGGACAAGTATCAGCTGACCTCACTACACTGAACAGAATGTTACTAGACTCGGGCTTCATGCTAGAACTCAAGTTGCAGACTTCAAATTTGTAAACAAGCATGACCTCATTAGCAAAGAAACCCACAAATGTTTAATTGCTTACCGCTGATTATGTTCCTAGGTTTGTCAGCACCATATAAGATGAGTTTCACAAAGGAGTAAATGCAGATATGCAGAAATACATCACTTCAGGCTCTCCTCCAACATTAACCTGATTTTCTAGGCCCATTTTTTTCTAAGGCCCTGCAATTGGTTGTGCAAAGTTGCATCCCTTGGGCATGCCAGAAACCTATGATTGTGGGTTTTGAATCCCGGTTCACCCCGATTATGTTTCTTGGTTTGTCAGCACCGTACCCATCTTGTGGGTTTCACTGAAGTGGTAAACGCCTGAGACCTGCATCACTTCGGGCTTTCCTCCCACATTAAGCTGACACGCCATGATATAACTGGAATACTGTTAAAAGCGGCGTTAAACCCAACTCACACACTCAAACCCAACTCACTCACTAATGCTTACAACCTTGCTGTTTAAAATGATGACAGTTTTCTTATATTTCAGTGATTTCCTCATATTACCTGGCTTTATTGACTTCTCGTCTAACGATGTGGTAAGTAGAGGAATTGCTACCAATTAATGAGTCTTCAGGAAAGTAGGTGGCGCAGCAGGCTGACAATCAATAACTCCGGGGCAAGGTTTGATTACCATGATTATCATAGCCTTGTCCCATTTGCATTTTTTTCACAATATTAAAATTGGCTCCTTGTCACTGCTATTGATGTTCTCATCAAATTTGGCAAATGCAGGTATTACTCAGTATTTCTGTCACGTCAAACTTACCCCTTAACATCTGTGTCAAGCATGAAGATTCTGCGGGGCATGGATTGTCCGTCATTTGTAGGTTAAAGTTTAATAGCATCAAAATCCTCTAGCCCAAGGGACCCGTGAAGATTACAGGGTAGAACAGGTCTTTAGCAACCCATGCTTGCCGTGAAAGTTGACTATGCTTGTCGTAAGAGGCGACTAAAGGGATTGGGTGGTCATGCTCGCTGATTTGATTGATGCATGTCATCAATCCCAATTGCCTGGATCGATGCTCATGATATTAATCACTGGATTGTCTTGTCCAGACTCAATTACTTACAGACATATAGCTGGAATATTGCTGGTGAGTAGGACTAATTCTCATTATTTACATTTTAATAATAAAATTATGGAAAAGTGTGACAACTTACTTAGCATTTCCAAGGGTCAAAGGCCTGACAACTTAAACAAACCATCTGCCAAATTGAAACTTTATTGGTCTATGACCAGTGATTCAGATACACAAACTTTATTCAAGGATGGGAATATGTTTGGTTTTAAGTGTGACACACAGCTCCCCTATGGGTGTTTAGGCGTGCCCTTTGAGATTTGAGTTGCCCAACCACAAGAACAGTTTTTCTGGAAAAAAAAAATTGGTTACTACGTTTATAATGAACACGCTTATAACAAATTGACGGATATAATAAAATGTTTTTTATCTTGTGCATTTGCTGTATATATGCATATAACGAACTACAGTTATAGCAAACGAAAATTAGTTCTCCCTTGAGTTGGTTATAACCGTAGTTTACTGTGTTAGATTTTTTTCATCTTTTTCCATGTATTCTGTCTAGTATAAAGTACAGTCAAGTCTCGTTAATCCGACATCGTTGGTTGCACATGGTTGTGTCGGATTAACGAGTATGTCGGATTAACGAAATTAAATGATTTGTGATCGAAAATTGGACGTCTTCACGATAGATAATAACCGTGTGTACCTTGTAATAAAATCATTAAAAACGAAATATTTATATTGTTATGTTGTTTATTCATTCATTCCTTAATTTATAATTAATGACATTGCAAAAATAATAATAACTTTCCCATTTATACATAACAATAGAGATATTACTCACTCAATTTATCACATCAACACACTACTGTCTTAACCACTTGCTTCATCTACTTAAAATAGTCTGTCAGTGTTTTCTGTTACTCACATTTTGAAGGCACATTTCTCAAAGTCCCCTGCATTTTTGTAATTTTTGTTAATTGTTAAGTTAATCTCTGCAGCCAGTGTGTGTCAAAACACGGGGTTGTGTACTCGCAGGCAGATTACCATGGAGTATGCTGACCACTGTGTCGGATTAACGAGACTGATTAATGAGTGATTTCGGTAATTCGTGGCAAATTAGGTGTGTCGGAGTCGGAGTGCGAGAATGTCGGATTAACGGGTCTAAATAGCACTGAATCAATCGGTTCCCATCATTTGTCTCGGATAAAGCCGAGTGTTGGATTAACGAGTGTCGGATTAACGAGACTTGACTGTACATTTATCACTGGCTTCAAACAATACAAATCGTCACAAGGTATATTTATGTAACAAAATGTGATTAAGTGTACCCATAATACTCCAGGATCTTATGTTAACCATGCCATTATGTATTTAACCGTGCCATTGGCTCGCTAATACAAGGAATTTTGAGCCCATTATTTTCATCTTAGGCTACCCAAGCTAAGTTCAATTTATAGTCTGTTAGTCATTATCCTAAAATGGGTGTGGCATTACTGCATTTTGTCATGAAATAGCAAAATGTCACAGTTCACAGATTTTGAAAATACACAGCCATGCAACAAAAACGTTTCTGACTTTTGTCAGTGCTGTCTGTCGAATAATGATGATTGTGCCATGGATCGGCATTAGTGGCTGTGGATGTAACAATCAATATGACAATCTTGCTGCGGGATAATTGATTGCTGGTCTTGGTTGATGAGCTGTGTAGACAGGAATTCTCATATCTGCCATAAAGCACACATGGCATGTCCTAGGGAAGAAATGGAGTTGTTTGAAGTTGTTGCTCTTCCAGATGTTGAGATGGTGTGTTTTCAGTTGGACTACTTTCACAGGATGGGATTTGTTTGACTTTTGAACATATGTTTTTGGGGTTTTTTTTATGCAACATTGTTTGGACTGATGTAGATTGTCACATCGTTATCTTTCTTGATAGCAGATAGTGGTCGAAATTAAGCCTGAAAGTCAAAGGTTCCTTGGCGTAGTTGTATGGTCACCAGGTCAAGTTGAGGGATTCCTCGATTCAAATACTACAGCCTTAGTAGCAAACTATAAGTACCCCAAAACATCCTCCGTGGTCTAGTGGATAAAGCACCTGCCCAGAGGGAGGAAGCTTGGTGGTTCCATCCCCTGGGCGTGTTATACCAAAGATGTTAAAAGATGCTACTTTTTGTAGCCTAGATAACAATAAAGGTGCCTCAGTCATAGGAAGCCAATCACGTTGCAGATTCCCCAGGAACAATCACTTCCTGACCTGCTATGGAGCCTACTTCCATGGTGTGGTCACTGGAACAGAAACTTCTCTTGTGGAATAAAGCAAGCAGAGCCGAGTAGTCAGCTGTTGTTTGCAAACAATGCTTCAGAAAGTCAACATACTGGCCTTTTAAGGGGATAAAACAAGGACTATGATAGGCCGCATAATGTCACTGACTGCAGTATTTATGTTAAAACTGTGGCATGGTATCTCAGTGGGCTAGCACTAATAAGCAGGCTAGCACTAATAAGCAGGCATTACTCCAGACTAGTACACATGTACAGTCAGACAAACCCACACGTCCACGCACAGCGCTGTGGACCTCCACCTTATTTCCTGGGTGGGAGTAGGTCGACTGTACTTGAATGTCAATGAATGTTTTTATGATATCCTTTCTTTTTTTTTCAAATGTGAATATTTAACAAAATGATGTTCCCTTTTCAGGACCTGACATCTGCGTTGACCCGTAAGATCACCCTGAAGTCTCCACTAGTGTCCTCACCGATGGACACGGTCACTGAAGCTCAGATGGCCATTGGCCTAGCTGTATGTTGTCTCTCTCTTTTTTTATGTATTATTTCAAGATTGTCATACCTTACATGTCATTAGCAGAATATGTTTGAAGTATCCAGTGGGAGTTTGCCTATATTTTGTGTTTTCAGGGTCTGTATGAGATTCCCTGACAATGTAACCTAAAAAATCTTAAAATACATTTTATTCTGTGACTAAATATTAGCCTTGTTATGACAGGGTAATGATTGGAGTCCTTAAGTCCTTTGACCCCACATAATTTTGAACACTGAATAGAATCATGAAAATGGTAAACATACATCTCGTATACTGCTTTTGGTTCTGGTCTTTTTCTTCCAAACTGTCAATCGCAATGGTGAAGTGCCTCTCCCGCTAAAGAATTAGTTGTTAACTATGTCTTTTAATGCCAGAAATAGGGGCGGTCGGGTAGCCAAGTGGTTAAAGCGTTTGCTGGTCACGCTGAAGACCCGGGTTCGATTCCTGACATGGGTACAATGTGTGAAGCCCATTTCTGGTGTCCCCCGCCGTGATATTGCTGGAATATTGCTAAAAGCGGCGTAAAACCATATTCACTCACTCACTAATGCTGGAACTTTTTTCTTCCACAGTTATGTGGTGGTATCGGAATCATCCATCATAACTGTACCGCTGAGTTCCAGGCAAATGAGGTCAGAAAGGTCAAGGTAAGGTCAACTCATTTTCATATCACAAAACAAAAATAATGACCCACTGGTGTAAGACCGGACGTGCTCATAGCTTATTGAGGTAGCTAGAGGCATGGGATCTTCGGTTTCCAAGTTTTACTGCATTGGCAATATGTTTTCACGAACCGATTGTAATGTTAGGGACCAGTTCAAAAGTTTGATGGGGTGAGGTGATGGTCCTGCAAGTTTTCCATCTGACAAAGTCAACTTTCCTGATTTCTCAATGTGTTATACAGTCTCTGGGTACCATTGTACAAAACAACCTTAGCGCTACGACTAATGTTAAGGTATGGCAGTATGATCACCTTAGTGCTAAGATTGCTTTGTATTTCTCATTCATTTGCTGTCAGGAGCATCCAATCTTTCCTCAATTAGGGTTTTATCCTCGTCGGCAATTGTCCATCTCATGTAGTGCGTAATGTATAATGACAGATTTGATCTATATAAACCCTACAAATGATTGTCAACACTAAAAAACATTTTGAAAAAAACCCAGGGCAAAACACGAGAATGTGTGGCAAAAGAGGCCACTAAACTTGGAAATTCAACAAAAGAATAAAAAAAATTATCCGACATCAAACTTGTGAATTGGTCCCTGATTAAAGTAGCTGGAGACTGGACTTATTCTGTTTCAAAGTTGTGCTGCATTAGGCAGATGTGACATGAACTGTCATCTGATGCGGTAAAGTCAAAATGGTTCCTGATATATGTTCAGTGTTCCTGTTTACCGGCAATTACCACTTTTTACCGGTAAAATTAAGCTTGGACCGGTAATTCATGTGACTGCAAGTCCCTGTGGACCGGCAAATAAAGTACCTTATAAATCCTTGTTGTTGAACAAAACATCAGCAATATTCATGTATTCATTAGTGCAAGTAAATAACATTTCGCTTGCTTCAATGATAAATTTAATTTTTGTGACTTAGTTTCCAAGTATTCAAAAAATAAATAAAGAGAAAATTGTGAATAAACTTTGGGTGAATGACGTGTAGATCTAACTAAGTTACTTCAGAGATGACGTCATTGCATTGAACATGATGTTAAAAGAATTAAAACCAGGTAATTTGGGACTGACAGTCCACAAGGACTGGCAATTTCAAAAGCTAGTTAGTTTCAAAAGCTAGCATGTTTGTGGTGGGTAGGTTTTAGGGCATTTAGGCACCTTTCTAGTTTCTAGATATAAAAATGTAAGATAATAAGAATATTTATAATATTACGAGGCCGCAGTTCTTAGATTAGATACACGCCGAACTCACTGTCAGACAAGTCATTTTGATTGGTTGTTGATTTCAAATTTGTGGTGAGAGAAATTCAGTGCTAAGTTGGTGCTAGGGGAGCTGGAGCTGGGGAAGTCACTTCCTTTGCCAAGTTTTGAAGTGGAATGTGTATATATCAAAATAGAATGGTGATATAATTTCTTGAGTATTTCCTGCTGCTGAATGCATAGTGAAACTTGTGTGTGTATATTTTCAAATTTATGATCAAATTTTAAAACTTTTTCAACATATGCTCCATGACACTTTTTCATGGATAGCAATTTCATTTATTCTTTGTGCGATGTTTCAGAGTAACTTCTTGCTCCTTCACCAGGTGAAGTAGCTCTGAAACATCGTAAAGAAGAATAAATGAAGTTGCTATCCATGAAAAAGTGTCATGTATTCATGTTCTCCCAGATTGTCGGCGTGGTCTTGTGGTAGAGCTTCCACCCGGAGAGCGGAAGGTCCGGGGTTCGATCCCCAGCCATTTCATAACAAATACGTTAAAAGATGGTATTTGTTGTTACCCTGTCTGGCGTTCGGCATTCAGGGGCTAAAACAAGGACTGGTCGGCTCGGAATCAGTATACTGTGTCTGAGTGGGGTTTTCATGTTAAACTGCGGCATGTTATCTCAGTGACCTAGCACTATAAATCGGCATCATTCCAGACTAGTACAAGCAGCCACACACACACATGCATGCACGTCACTATATAAGTGCAATAATCTTGGACGTGACGTTAAACCCAATTTCACCTCACCTCACCTCACCTCACCTCACCTCACCTCACCTCACCTCACCTCATGTTCTCCCAACTTCTAAATGCCAATCAAAGACAACATATGATCCGTTAAATGTCATGTGTATAGTTGACGGCAACATTTTGCATTATTATGACATTTATTATTATACTTTACATGGACAGAACACAATTACATGTTGCTTATTTTCGTAACTGCGTTCGTTGCCATTACTTAACCAGCCAATTTATATATGTATATATTAAGGTTGTTACAATTCACTCGCATATTCGGTGAATCGAACCGTATCCATTCATGAATTGAATTCGATTTTCGTGGCCACTAGAATCGAATATCTATGAATATTCAAACATGTGCGCTTACATACCCTGTTCCTAAAAAGATCCATAAGAACATGTTATATGCCTAGATTTCTTCAAAGACAACGCTCTTATAATAATTAATTTAACAGTATTGTGGTCACTGGTCATTGTCACATTTGAGCAGAAACTAGTACCTGGATAAGTGCAGTATATAAATGTATAATGTATTAATAATTAACAAACCTTGTCAAATGATTTATGTTGTTAATGTTTCACTGAATATAACAAATAATACATTCACTGCTGACTTTTTATTGCATTCGTGAATTAGTATTCGTATTCGTTACCCTATTTTCGTGATAAGAATCGTATTCGCCTCATAGTGTATTCGTTGCAGCCCTAATATATAGCATCAATACTCAAATGATACCTTCTTCAAACTTAACATGCAGGTTGAACAGATTTTGAACATTTTTTATGATTTGCACAAAGTGGACCCTCATCTCTAAATTCACCTGTGAAGATCCGGGTTAGAATAGGTGTTCAGCCACCCTTGCTTTCCATAAAAGGCAACGAACGGGATCGGGCGGTCAGACTCACCGACTTGATTGATGCATGTCATCGTATCCCAATTATGTAGATTGATGCTCATCATGTCAATCAATGGATTGTCTGTTCCAGACCTAATTATTTACAGACCGCCGTCATATAGCTGGAATATTGCTGAGTGAGGCGTTAAACAACAAACAAATCTAAATCCGAAACATATTCTAATGTATGCCCCTATTTTCTTAGAACTAATAGAAGTCAATGTTTTTATCTAAGTACTTTTACCTTTCCCTTTGTGTTTTTCAATATTATTATTGATGTCACCATGGCAACATCATCACGATGCTGCAGTCACGGCAGTCATATTAGTTGGACAGCTGTACCTTTTCTTTGACTGTTACATGTCAGTATTAGGTATTAGCATACTGACATCTATTCTTCATTTTCTTTGTCCAATGATGGACGTAAATTGTATACCCTAATGCACTCACCAAAACATACTTTGATCTTAGCATCAATCAAGAACGTCTGGGGGGTTTTCTCATAAAAGTCCCCAAGTAGAGCATGATGGCTTCTGAGTCAGACCAACATGTAAAAGGCTAATAACGGTATCCTTTGTCATTCCATTACTGATCCTAACTTACTTTTCCATTAGATGTTTTTCTCGTTTCCCATTATCCACAGTAATAATGACATTTTGATGGGGACGTGACTTGGGATGTTTTTGCTTAACATGACGTACGGCTCGGTGAAATTGATACCTCTTAATTAGTTTTCAGGGAAGTATTACTTATATTCCTGGACCGAAAACATGGTATTGATTTCTTGTACATAAAAACAGACTCTAATTGGATGAGCCAGCATGTTGCCATGGTGATGCTAATCCATAATACTCTAATGCAGAAGTTGCCTTTTGGTCATTAATCAGGAAATTAACACACTTGACATCAATTGGTGGTGATATTTCTGATTTATTTGCTGAAAGGGAAAATCGGCTTGTCAGGAGTTTATTAGGTTCCTTGTTAAAAAATGTCTATACTGATGAGTCAGAGGTTCAGGAGGGTTCACAAAGTATATGATCTAGACTACCAGTTGTCGGACTTTCATATTTGTGGAAGTCTCGGTGGATGAGTGGGTTAGATCACTGACCTTGTGTGCTGGCGATTAGGTGCCTCACTCTGAGAGTTTGGGTTCGAATCCCAGATGGGACAACCAAGAAAGTACTGGAATCTGTGCTTTACAGGAAGTGTTATCCCAAATATAACATTTGGGTATTTATTGACAGGTTATCATTTACATTAATATTGGCAGGACCACTTGACCACAGTGTATTTATTCCATTGATTTTTAAATTATGATGATTTATTTTGCACATGTTACACAAATACGCTCCTAATCTTGAGCTCGGTATTTGACAATAAGTTGTTTTAAGATTCTGTCTATCATGGTATATATATCATGTATATTATGATGACAATTAAAAATAAATTAGATAGTAATGTTTTTTGTAGTATGAAATTCATCCGACCGGCCTGGTTATGCAAGATTTGGTTTCCTAGTATGACGTCAGGGATGTATTTAGACCTGGTCGGGGATAGTTATTGACAAATTTTAAAGCCACAACTGAAACATGATCGAAACTTGAAAAATACTCACCAAAATCAATGTTTCTATCTGTGCAGTATCCGTGCATCAAGTATCAGAGACTCGTGAAGATCCGTGTTAGCATAGGTCTTCGGCAAACCATGCTTGCCATAAAAGGCGTCTATGCTTTCCATAAGAGGCAACTAACAGGATCGAGTGGTCAGGCTCGCTGACTTAGTTGATGCATGTCATCATATCCCAATTGCGTGGATCGATGCTCATGATGTTAATCACTGGATTATCTGGTCCACACTCGATTGTTTTCCATACTGCTGTCATATAGCTGGAATATTGCTGAGTGCGGCGTTAAACAACAAACAAACAAACAGTGTATGTATGTATGTCACTGATGAGATTGTCACAAGCCGTTATTTATCGAACTTCAATTTTCAAGTACTTTTCAATGTTTGAATTGATATTCAATTTCGAGGTTTAACCATACAAACGCAAGCAAATAGTGCAGCTTGCATGTGCTACATTACTATGCTTCATGTATGAATGAAAATGTCGAAGCAAAAACCAGCATCATAGAACTCTTAACATTACTCTTTTGCACATGAAAAAATTATCATTTACTCCAAAGCTTCCATTAGGGTTGGCATCTCTGCGATCTACCCATTTGGGATACGATGACATGCATCAACTAAGTCACTGAGCCTGAGCAGCCAATCCCATTAGTCGCCTCTTACTTCAAGCATGGGTTGCTGAAGACCTGTTATACCAACAGGTCATTAAACTGAGAGTCCTTAACATGGCTGAAATAATATTACAAGCAGCACTATTGCCAACTCACTCACTCACTCATGGTATAGAGGGCTCAAAATCAGCAGTCAAAACAGCCTCATGTCAGAATGGCCTCCAAAGTTAAAATCAAAACGCCACAACCCATAGTCAAAATGGCGACACATTAAAGTCACAAGGGCCTCAACAAAAGTCAAAATGGCCAAACTCAGTTATGATGTCACATTATGAGTTTTATGTGGGGCCGTTTAGACGATGGTTTTGTGACCACTTTTCTTTTTTTTTCAGGCTGTCTTGACTTTTGAGCTTTGAGGCTGTTTAGACATGAGGCCATTTTGACAACAACCCCTGAAAATGTATTTAGATTACTATTGTTTTTTGCAGAAATACGAACAGGGATTTATCCTTGACCCAGTGGTCATGTCCCCAAGTCATACAGTTTCTGATATTGTGCAAGCCAAGAGACAATATGGCTTCTCGGGTATCCCCATCACTGAGAAGGGACACATGGGGGAGAAGCTGGTCGGCCTCGTCACGCAGCGGGACATCGACTTCTTCACCAGGGACCAGTACCACACACCCATCTCAGAGGTAAGTCGTGTTGCTGGGTCGGAGCATGGCCGGCCCAGTTACCAAAGGTGCCACAATTCCTTAATATAAGTGTGTCAGACACACATGAACATGGGTTCAAATCCCAGACTCATCTTGACTCACCCTGACTCACCCTGATAATGATTCTTTGTGTGGCTTGTGGATTTCACCAAAGTGGTAAATGTCCTACATCACTTCGGGCTTTCCTCCCACATGAAGCAGACATGCGTTGAATGACTGCAATACTGCTCCGAACAGGATTATAACTAATTCGCTCACTCATCTATCCATTTTACATGTTGACATTTTCTCAAAGATCATCAATATGTTTTACCCTCAATATTTGATACGTTTATCAAAGGTTAGTGATGTTTATGCCTTGTTACAATGTATGCAGACAACAGATAAGAATATTCAGTGGCAGATTTCTTTCAGTGTCTCGCGGTCGACCAGTCTACTTGCAATACGCTTTTCAGTGTTCGAATTAAGGGGGTCCTGGCATCTTTGAGGTCTTCTCCGATGATATTTGAATCTAGGCTCCCCCTAAATGTTTAGGGGCTGGATGGTCAGAAGAAATAAAACAAATAATAATAAACAAAACTGGCTTTGGTTGAAATACCAATGTTAAGTTATTAGTTGTGTTTGCTATTGGTTCACAATGTCAACTTTTGGCCTTACAGTCTTTGCGCTTTGCGTACGGTTACACCGACCTTGAAAATCGAAAATTCAGAAAAAGATAAAATCAGAATAACACCAGGTGTTATTTTTTGTACCAAAGACAGTAAGGCCACTTTGAAGTTCAAAATTACAATGAAATGCCTCTCAGATTTTAGATTTATAATATTTATACAAACCCACAACAGGCCAAGATTATTGGGTTTTTCCACCTACCAATCCAAATCAATCCCGTACAATGCATTGTATTCTTTTATTGATGAAAAAGAAAAAACTATCATGGCCTGATTTTGTGGAGATGCTTGTCGGGGGCTTGTGGGAGCTAGCAGCTGCATATGTATGATAATTGTTGGTAACCATGGTAACACTTTGATGTAACTAAAGGTGATGACCCCCTATGAAGACCTGATTGTGGCCCCAGCAGGTGTGACACTCAAAGAGGCCAATGGAATCTTACAGAAGAGCAAGAAAGGTGGGATTTCTAACAGAATGAACAATAATGGGACGTTGTGAAAACACCTTTCAAGTTGTCTGTATGTTTATGTAGTGTTCATCGATACATTATGCAGTTTGAGAGAAAATAATGATGAAAAGTGTTTTTAAATAATAGCAGCTTCTATGGGCAGTTTTTTATCGTATAACAAAACAATTGGAGTAATTAGTGGCCACTACCAAACATATGTACTCAGTGTTTTTGCCTGAAATCAGTCACAAATTAGCCATAAAAAAATCAACATGACTGAAGAATTGGGTCATAATTAGTTCTGACCCGTGAAGATTCCGGGGTAGAATAGGTCTTCAGCAACCCATGCTTGCCGTAAAAGGCGACTATGCTTGTTGTAAGAGGGGACTAACGGGATCGGGTGGTCAGGCTCGCTGACTTGGTTGATGCATGTCATCGTATCCCAATTGCGTGGATCTATGCTCATGATGTCAATCACTGGATTGTCTGGTCCAGACTCGATTATTTACAGACTGCGGTCATTTAGCTGGAATATTGCTGAGTGCGGCGTTAACAAACAATCAATCAATCATAATTAGTTCTTCAGAATTGTTAGTGATAATCATTGTCTATTTTGTTTTGTGTACATCAATATCACTACAGTTCAGGGTCGATTCAAAGTCACAGCTTCCCAGTCTCTCTTGTTCAGAGACAAATGTTGGTTTGCTTTTTGACCAAAAGAAATACAATCTATGCTGTTGAAAGCCCACTATTTCAATCCATTCCCAACGTTCTGCTGGCTTAAAAATGATCTCTTAGGCTAAAAAAAATAATAGTCTTGGTTCTCAGGCACCGCCCGCATCATCCTAAAGTTCATTGCACGTTTCATTTTTATTTCCATTTTTAAAAAAAAACACCCCAAAATCCTTAAATATTCCAAGTCCAACGGTAGTCATATAGTGTATTTCAGTATTTTACTCATCAAGGAATTCATTTATGTAGGGAGGCCCTTTCCCAGGTTGATTGTACACAATTGTTTATTGGTTATATACTAGTTTGAACAACAACAAAAAAAAACGACACCGCCCGCCCACACTATATTTTCAAAAACCATTGCCTGAGAACCAATTCTTTTATTTTTTAAAGCCTTAATTTGACACACTCAAAGATGTTTCATGTACATTTGTGTATTGGATGTCCACAATGTCTGCAGGTAAACTCCCCATTGTGAATGATCGAGATGAGCTGGTGGCCCTCATTGCCAGAACCGACACAAAGAAGAACCGAGAGTTTCCACTGGCATCCAAGGATGAGAGGTAAGTGGGGCGTGGCACGCTTCACAATGCATAGAAACTTAACATCACAGGCCTACTCAAGTGTCAATTCCAGAATTAATTCTCTATCAATTTTCAAAATGTAATATTTACAGCTTGAGTTACCACCTGTCACAAAATAACATGCTTTATTACTTGCCCGTGAAGAGATCACCCGTTTAATAAACATACAGCTTTATTACACATTGTGTAATACCAAAACGCGTGCTTATGTACTCTCAGAACACGTTTCACGAACAAATATTGAAAGCTCTCAACATCCCTTGGCGTATTCAACGACATTGTGTGTGGAGATGATAGATCACTGGGAGGAGCTTATGCAAACTTGATGACCCCAGCAACCTTGTTGCTAGGCTGACGTCACATGGCATTGTTTCGCCGATGGATCTTGCAACAAAATTCAACAAATTACGTCATCGGGTATTGTGACGTGATTGTAAACTTTGAGGTGCAAGGCCCCGTTCCACAAGGCGATCGTACTCTAGCGCAACGACAGTGGTTAGTCTAAGTTAAATTATATGAGTTGTGATAGCCTTAGCACTATGATAATTTTGTGGGACGAACGCCTGAATTCTAAAGGTGGACCATTTTATGATATTAAATTCATACGTTTCAACTTTTGGCGTGTTTGAAGTATTATTCTGTTAAACTCAATTGGATTATGCCATGGATCGTGTAGGTGTCAGCCTATTTACACTCAACAGTACAATTCTAAAAACATTATAAATGACAAGTAATAAATAAAATACTAAACTCGCTCTCGTGTAAAACCAATTTTATGAAACTCGTGAATAGTTGTGGTATCTGACTTGCTTTCGCTCATCAGATACCAGAACTATTCACTCGTTTCATAAAATTGGTATTACACGGGAGCTCGTTTAGTATTCTATATGAATCTTATGGTACTATTAGAATGAGGGGGCATGGGTGGCCCAGTCGCCTAGGGCACCTTGATTCTGTGTGCAGAGTTGCGTCCCTTGGGCACGCCAGAAACCTATGATTGTGGGTTCGAATCCCGGTTCACCCCAATTAAGATTCTAGGTTTATCAGCACCATACCCGTGCTCGTGGGTTTCACTGAAGTGGTAAACATCTGAGACCTGCATCACTTCGGGCTTTCCTCCCACGTAAGCTGACACGCCGTGATATAACTGGAATACTGTTAAAAGCGGTGTTAAACCAAACCCACTCACTTTTAGAATGAATCTACATTAAATTGTCATGCATGTTAACCCATGTTACCTGGGGCGGAAAGAACATAGAAGAATTTAAGCTTAAGAAGTGCAAATTAAGTATTGCGATGTGTTGATACGTGAGGTGGGCGTGTCATGACACCCCCAGTAGCAAGGATGTGTGCATGTTAGCAAAGGCAGATATGCACATGAAGGGAAAATAAGGTCACACAATGTAGCATGTAATTGTCACAGTTCTGTTTGCAACATTCATAGATGCTTCATGGGGTATAATGATTGAACAAACTAATGTTTGTTTGTTGTTTTACGCTGCACTCAGCAATATTCCAGCTATATGACGGCGGTCTGTAAATAATTGAGTCTGGACCAGACAATCCAGTGATTGACATCATGAGCATCAATCCACGCAATTGGGACCGATGAAATGCATCAACCAAGTCAGCGAGCCTAACCACCCTTGTACCCTTGTGGGTATCTGATTGGTCAGTAGGAGGGACATAGAAGGGACATAACTCGCAACATCAACTGGTGGCGCTACGATCAGGCCTGGAAACTCCAGCCTAGTTTGGCAAGGGGATTTTTGTAGTCAGTTAACTCCCTTGCCTTGTGGTATCAGCTCTACTCATTGCTTCAGCGTCAAGCAATGGTAGGGTTCACACAAAGTCCATGTACGGAGCTTTCTTCATTTGACTTCCATGAGTAATAAATGGCCTCACTTTGTTAGCTTACTGAACATGTGCATCAGTACTGCACTCCATGTCGGCTGTATGTAGTCACGGGTGATATAGAGGAACATAGACAGACCTGTATTGACAATGGATGTGATGGTGTGCATGTTGTTGCAGGAAGCAGTTGTTGGTCGGCGCTGCAGTCAGCACACACGAGGAGGACAAGGACCGCATTGACCAGCTTGTGCAGGCAGGGGTGGACGTGGTTGTGTTGGTAGGTAGGACAGACGTGGTTGTGTTTGTAGGTAGGACAGACGTGGTTGTGTTTGTAGGTAGGACAGACATGGTCGTGTTGCCAGGTCGGACAGACATGGTTGTATTGGTGGGTAGGACAGACGTGGTTGTGTTTGTAGGTAGGACAGACGTGGTTGTGTTTGTAGGTTGGACAGACATGGTCGTGTTGCCAGGTCGGACAGACATGGTTGTGTTGGTAGGTAGGACAGACGTGGTTGTGTTGGTAGGTAGGACAGACGTGGTTGTGTTTGTAGGTTGGACAGACATGGTCGTGTTGCCAGGTCGGACAGACATGGTTGTATTGGTGGGTAGGACAGACGTGGTCGTGTTGGTAGGTCGGACAGACGTGGTTGTGTTGGTAGGTCGGACAGACATGGTTGTGTTGGTAGGTAGGACAGACGTGGTTGTGTTGGTAGGTAGGACAGACGTGGTCGTGTTCGTAGGTCGGACAGACGTGGTCGTGTTCGTAGGTCGGACAGACTTGGTCGTGTTGGTAGGTCGGACAGACGTGGTTGTGTTGGTAGGTCGGACAGACGTGGTTGTGTTGGTAGGTCGGACAGACGTGGTTGTGTTGGTAGGTAGGACAGACGTGGCCGTGTTGGTAGGTCGGACAGACTTGGTCGTGTTGGTAGGTAGGACAGACATGGTTGTGTTGGTAGGTAGGACAGACGTGGTTGTGTTGGTAGGTAGGACAGACGTGGTCGTGTTGGTAGGTAGGACAGACGTGGTCGTGTTCATAGGTCGGACAGACTTGGTCGTGTTGGTAGGTCGGACAGACGTGGTTGTGTTGGTAGGTAGGACAGACATGGTCGTGTTGGTAGGTAGGACAGACGTGGTCGTGTTCGTAGGTCGGACAGACGTGGTTGTGTTGGTAGGTAGGACAGACGTGGTCGTGTTCGTAGGTCGGACAGACTTGGTCGTGTTGGTAGGTCGGACAGACGTGGTTGTGTTGGTAGGTAGGACAGACATGGTTGTGTTGGTAGGTAGGACAGACATGGTCGTGTTGGTAGGTCGGACAGACGTGGTTGTGTTGGTAGGTCGGACAGACGTGGTCGTGTTGGTAGGTCGGACAGACGTGGTCGTGTTGGTAGGTAGGACAGACGTGGTTGTGTTGGTAGGTCGGACAGACATGGTCGTGTTGGTAGGTCGGACAGACTTGGTCGTGTTGGTAGGTCGGACAGACGTGGTCGTGTTGGTAGGTAGGACAGACATGGTCGTGTTGGTAGGTCGGACAGACGTGGTTGTGTTGGTAGGTCGGACAGACGTGGTCGTGTTGGTAGGTCGGACAGACGTGGTCGTGTTGGTAGGTAGGACAGACATGGTCGTGTTGGTAGGTCGGACAGACGTGGTCGTGTTGGTATGTCGGACAGACATGGTCGTGTTTGTAGGTTGGACAGACGTGGTCGTGTTGGTAGGTCGGACAGACGTGGTCGTGTTGGTAGGTCGGACAGACGTGGTTGTGTTCACACTGAGTCAGTATGAAGGTCAGCCGACACACACGTGTTTAGACGTAAAATAGATGGTCACATAGACTTTGAGTACTGTTGTCATTGTTTTTGTTTAACAAGCTATTGCTGTGCTAAGATTAACCTTTGTGTTGATGATGAGACAAATATGAGTATGAAATATGAAGGACTGCATGGTATAACTGGTATACTGCAATACTCTTTCAGCTGATACGTATTGCAATATTTTTTCTGTGATCCAGCATATTGATAAAAAAAACTGTAAAAGTTTTGTTATTATTTGTATCGTTTAACCTAAAATCTAAACAAAGACGGTGGAAATGTGGAAGTGACGTTTCTTTTACGTTGTTATCGCCCCTGTAACCATAACTAGAAAATGGGGCCGTCCGACATGCTGAGTAGTATTGTCTTCAGTATGTAGAAAAAGGGATCTGCACGTACAATCAGTGTCAATCACTGTCAAACACTTTAGCTCCCACTATATCACAATGCCAATAGCAATACAGATAGCTGTATCACAATATATTGCTATCAAATTATTTTTCCTACAAAGCCTTAGTAATATGTACATTTTCTGTTAACAGGATTCCTCACAAGGCAACTCAATATTCCAGATCAATCTCATTCGCTACCTTAAACAGAAGTACCAAGATCTCCAAGTGATCGGAGGCAATGGTAAATACATTCTAGAAACAAGTCATTAAGACATATTCCACCTTAGGATGTGGGCAGTATTTTGTGATCACTGTGCCACTCTGTCATGAATGGAAATTACCTTGTGTTCAAATCAAGTAATGTAAGTCATTACATCACCATAGTGAAGTGGTGCAGCTGACAATCATACACTTAAGACCCCATCTTCCAGAGGCAAGGGAGTGAACTGACTATAAAAGTTCAGTTTCCATCCTTGACAAACTAGGCTGGAATTATGGAGTTACATTTTGGCTGGACTAATGAGTTTATGCATAGTCCAATCAAAATCGTGTACCGAAATCGTGCGTGAGACCTGCGAAGATCCGGGGTAGAATAGCTCTTCAGCAACCCATGCTTGCCGTAAAAGGCGACTATGCTTGTCGTAAGAGGCGACTAGCGGGATCGGGTGGTCAGGCTCGCTGATTTAGTTGATGCATGTCATCAATCCCAATTGTGTGGATCGATGCTCATGATATCAATCACTGGATTGTCTGGTCCAGACTCGATTATTTACAGACCGCCCTCATATACCGGTAGCTGGAGTCCGCCGTAAAACAACCAACCAACCGAAATTGTACGTCATGAAGTCAGGCGTGCATGACTGTATCATCCATGTTTCCATTTCTGTGCCATCGGTCATGATATACTTATATTTCACGTTACAGTTGTCACAGCAGCACAAGCAAAGAATCTGATAGATGCTGGCGTCGACGGTCTGCGAGTCGGCATGGGTAGCGGCTCCATCTGCATCACACAGGAAGGTGCGTGGACACTGTTCATTTGCTCAATCTCATTCAAATGAGATCTCTTACTCTGATTCAATACTTCTCTGGGTGAAGATCTGATCATTCCTCCATTCCTCCTGTCAGATGAAGTTTTGAATCAGCCAATCAGTATCAAGGCTTCTAAAATCTTGGTAGGAGTGAGAAAGCAGTCAGACCACCATATCTAATTTCTGTTGCTCAAAAACAAACAACAGTTCAACAACAAAAAAGGACAGTTCCAAATGCAAATATTAAGGCTGCACAAATATGTAGTAGTAATTTTGCACTCCATGTCACCTGAGAAGGAATACCATGGGAGGGAATAATTGTGGGTTTTTTTGTTTTCTTTTGTAAAAATTGAAATATCCAAATTGAGCCCAATCATTTTAGAAATCTGACATCTGGTTGTCTCAAGAATCCGTGCATCCTCCAGTTAAATTGGATGGTCCAAGTTCTTTCAGGGCTACATTTGAAAGTGCATGTTGATCTGATAACTATGTTGCTTGTTGCAGTGATGGCTGTAGGTCGTCCACAGGGTACTGCAGTCTACAAAGTTGCCGAGTATGCTCGCCGATTTGGAGTGCCAGTAGTTGCTGATGGAGGCGTTTCATCAGTGGGACATATCATCAAAGCTTTGTCACTAGGAGCCTCCACAGGTAGGTGTTGGGACAGCCAGAGAAGGGCAGATCCGGGGAGGCCCAGATGACATTAGGGACAGCCAGAGAAGGGGAGGCCCAGATGTCATTAGGGACAGATGGAGAAGGGCAGATCTGGGGAGGCTCAGATGTCATTAGGGACAGATAGAGAAGGGCAGATCCGGGGAGGCCCAGATGTCATTAGGGACAGATAGAGAAGGGCAGATCCGGGGAGGCTCAGATGTCATTAGGGACAGATCCGGGGAGGCTCAGATGTCATTAGGGACAGATAGAGAAGGGCAGATCCGGGGAGGCCCAGATGTCATTAGGGACAGATGGAGAAGGGCAGATCCGGGGAGGCCCAGATGTCATTAGGGACAGATGGAGAAGGGCAGATCCTGGTAGGCTCAGATGTCATTAGGGACAGATAGAGAAAGGCAGATCCGGGGAGGCTCAGATGTCATTAGGGACAGATGGAGATGGGCAGATCCGGGGAGGCCCAGATATCATTAGGGACAGATAGAGAAGGGCAGATCCTGGGAGGCTCAGATGTCATTAGGGACAGATAGAGAAGGGCAGATCCGGGGAGGCTCAGATGTCATTAGGGACAGATAGAGATGGGCAGATCCGGGGAGGCCCAGATGTCATTAGGGACAGATAGAGATGGGCAGATCCGGGGAGGCTCAGATGTCGTTAGGGACAGATGGAGATGGGCATATCCGGGGAGGCTCAGATGTCATTAGGGACAGATAGAGAAGGGCAGATCCGGGGAGGCTCAGATGTCATTAGGGACAGATAGAGATGGGCAGATCCGGGGAGGCCCAGATGTCATTAGGGACAGATAGAGAAGGGCAGATCCGGGGAGGCTCAGATGTCATTAGGGACAGATGGAGAAGGGGAGGCTCAGATGTCATTAGGGGCAGATAGCGAAGGGGAGGCCCAGATGTCATTAGGGACAGATGGAGATTGGCAGATCCGGGGAGGCCCAGATGTCATTAGGGACAGATAGAGAAGGGCAGACCCGGGGAGGCCCAGATGTCATTAGGGACAGATAGAGAAGGGCAGACCCGGGGAGGCCCAGATGTCATTAGGGACAGATGGAGAAGGGCAGATCCGGGGAGGCCCAGATGTCAATAGGGACAGATAGAGAAGGGGAGGCCCAGATGTCATTAGGGACAGATGGAGAAGGGCAGATCCGGGGAGGCCCAGATGTCATTAGGGACAGATGGAGAAGGGCAGATCCGGGGAGGCTCAGATGTCATTAGGGACAGATGGAGAAGGGCAGACCCGGGGAGGCCCAGATGTCATTAGGGACAGATGGAGAAGGGCAGATCCGGGGAGGCCCAGATGTCAATAGGGACAGATAGAGAAGGGCAGACCCGGGGAGGCCCAGATGTCATTAGGGACAGATAGAGAAGGGGAGGCCCAGATGTCAATAGGGACAGATGGAGAAGGGCAGATCCGGGGAGGCCCAGATGTCATTAGGGACAGATGGAGAAGGGCAGACCCGGGGAGGCCCAGATGTCATTAGGGACAGATGGAGAAGGGCAGATCCGGGGAGGCCCAGATGTCAATAGGGACAGATAGAGAAGGGGAGGCCCAGATGTCATTAGGGACAGATGGAGAAGGGCAGATCCGGGGAGGCCCAGATGTCATTAGGGACAGATGGAGAAGGGCAGATCCGGGGAGGCCCAGATGTCAATAGGGACAGATAGAGAAGGGGAGGCCCAGATGTCATTAGGGACAGATGGAGAAGGGCAGATCCGGGGAGGCCCAGATGTCATTAGGGACAGATGGAGAAGGGCAGATCCGGGGAGGCCCAGATGTCATTAGGGACAGATAGAGATGGACACATCTGGAAATGAGTCGAGAGATTCAGATAAAATCAGACCTGGGCCCACATGCACAAACCAGTCTTAGCGCTAAGACTATCATAAGTCCATGTTAATGTATGGGAGTTACGATCATCATAGCACTAAGATCACTTTGTGCATGTCAACCCTGGAGATAGGCACAACCAGAGAGATGCACATTGTTATGTGGCAGCAGAGATAGGCACGTTTAACATTGGTCCATGCACAGGTAAATGACAGCTGTTCAGTTGTCCGTCTTGTTGCACTAAGCGATGATGGTTCAGATTCATATGGCAAATTAGATCCATGGTCCTCGTTATCTGTTGCATGTGTTTCTTGCAGTGATGATGGGCTCGTTACTGGCTGGCACAACAGAGGCTCCAGGAGAATATTTCTTCGCTGATGGCGTGCGGTTAAAAAAATATCGTGGTATGGGATCTCTGGACGCCATGGAGACTCATCGGAGTAGTCAGAGTCGATATTTCAGGTGCAGATGTAACCTGTTGCTAAGAAAGTACAGTCCCAAATATAACAATGTTACATTAGACCTCTTTCTAAAAGGCATTGTGTATTTTTTATAATGTAATAATATGCCTTATGATGTCAAATTGTTTAGAATATAGACATTAAGGATTTTCATCACATTGACACACTATGCTATGACAATTGTAACAAATTTAAAAAATAATGATCTTATTCTATAGCAAATACTTATGATGATTTGACTGTTTTTGGCATATATACCGGGGTCTTCTAAGTGACATTAGCAACATGACATCAAATGCCTCACAAGATTTGAAACAGTTACTCAAAGATACATGCATTCCGCAATTATTATCCGTGTCACTGTGCACCTACTTCATGATGCGTATCCCAATACCTGAAGATAACCGCATATATACTACTCAAAAGAAGTTAAGGAACACCTGAATTTTCCAGAAAACTAGAGTTAATTTGTCATGACTAGTGGATGCGGCAACACAGCCTTCCAACTGTGGGAGTACTTTACCTTGTTTCAAGTTGTGTTTATTGTGATATTGATTTCCACTATTTGCATGAAACTGTATGTTCCATGTGGTCTGGCTAACAAGCAATCTCATTAAAATCAGATCTTAGTTCTCGCTTCCGCTTAACAAAGATCTGAGGACATCCCATTAGGGGTCACGTCAGAACGACCTTTCATCCGACCAATCAGAGCGTCGCTTACCAGATCATGAAAGTGACAGAATGTGATTTCTAATCATGCGACCTCGAAAACTTTAACAAGGGTATTCCGAAAGATAGTTACGGGCTTAACGACTGAATCCATATAATCTAGACCCTCTATTAGCCATTCCAGGATGTTCTTTTGTTCAGGTTTCATATTTTTAATCGAGAATTTGTCAAAATATGTTTCAAAGTGTAGTCGCCAATTTAAAATTAGTGCTGTAAAGCACGAAAAAGCTGCCTTCTGATTGGCTAATGTCTACTTCTTGTCAGTCATTCCATTGGTCGGTCAAAGTTTGCGCAAGGTCGGTCTGATGTGAATGGGATGTCCTCAGATCTTTGTTTAGCGGTAACGAGAACTAAGGTCTGATTTTAATGACATTGGCTAACAAGAGGTTGTTATCATCAACCAATTTGTGTTAAGGTTCTATTGTGCAGTCAGTTTTAAAATTTTCTTTTATCTAAGGAGCTAAGGCAATGCTATTCCGAGCAGTTATCTGACAGGGTTATTGAAAAATGTAAATATTAATTATTTAATATTTTAATCGATGCTGAATCGAGTCATGATCAGGCATATCATATATATCATTTGTCTATTTGTCTATTTGTTATGGTCGATGCATTGGTGAATTGTGACGTTGTTAAAAGGTAAAACATAGAAAGCTGAATGTTACAAGTGTACCAGAACCTATGTGCTCGTACTTATGACTGTCTATTCTGTTTCAGCGAGAGTGATAAAATCAAAGTAGCGCAAGGTGTTTCAGGGTCCATTGTTGACAAAGGCTCCATCCAGAAGTTCGTTCCATATCTGATAGCCGGGATCAAACATGGCTGCCAGGACATTGGCGCCAAAAGTCTTTCCATATTAAGGTTGGTTTCTTTAGTTTGAGGATAAGCACCTATCCCACAAATGCATTTCTTTGAGATTTTCTGGCCTCAATTATATTATGGACACATTTGGCACCATGTAATTGATTTCTGAGAAATTTGGGAGTTCAGAATTTGATGGTAGACACTCGTGTTTCTATGCATCTGTGTAGTGGGTAGACAGTTTGTGCATGTGCAGATGTTATGTCAAGATTAAGACATGGATTATACTTGTTTACCATGACCAGAATTGTCATCAGGATAGCTTTGTGTTGGCTTAGGCTGTGGCACTAGTGCTAACATCTTCAGCTTTGTTCTGTCTGTTTACTAACACTGCTTGTTTAAGTCAACCACGTCAACATTCCTCCGAAAGTCCCTGCCGTTCTCTGTTTCATATCTTGATAAAGAGGATGTTGGGGTTAGCCTAGTGATTAAAACATTAGCTTTTCACACCGAATACACAGGTTCAAATCCCTATGTGGATAATATGTGTTAAGCCATTTTTGGTGTCCCTGTCGTGAAGTTACAAGAAGAGTGCTAAAAGCAGCTTTCACCCATACTCTCTCACTCACAACAAACAAAGCATGTTTTCAAGATGAACCTACCCAGGTTTTTTTAAAATGAAAAAGAAATAATTTACAAAAATGGTATCCTATGACTTGAGCTTTACACCTTTTCTAAGAGCAAAATAACAAAATGATGTTGAAAAGTTTCTTTGTTTATGACCTCCAACAAATCACTTTGTTTCTTTTTAAATGTTGACAGAACATGAAATAGAATCCAGTTATTTGTTGACATTTACCACTTGGTAAAACATTTGTGCCTGTTATTTGTTGTTTCTAGTTTGTTTTTCTTTCTGATTGGGGGGGATTTTATTTCAACATACTTTTGGACACAGTGCATGTCGATGATGACATTGTACATGATTTGAAACACTGTTTGGTACAGTGTCAGTGAGTTTGATTTTACGCCGCTTTTAGCAATATTCCAGCAACATCACGGCTTCACACATTGTACCCATGTCGGGAATCGAACCCGGGTCTTCGGCATGACGAGCTAACGCTTTGTAGAATGAGCCTGTTTGGGACAGGCTCATACTACATAACATAGGGTTCAGATACTGGAAGCTGTGGGACATACTTTAACTTGAACAATTGATCAGGCTTAAAAAACGCTACAGATCTAAATTCTTCACGTATGCAGATCTAACTCCATTTGCTTGACAGTTCCCATTTTGGCAGGTCTCAATTCTATTCTTTGGCAGGTCTCAATTCTGTTCTTTGGCACGTCTCAATTCTGTTCTTTGGCAGGTCTCAATTCTTTGCTTTGGCACGTCTCAGTTCTGTTCTTTGGCAGGTCTCAATTCTGTTCTTTGGCAGGTCTCAATTCTGTTCTTTGGCAGGTCTCAATTCTTTGCTTTGGCTGGTCTAAAGTCTCTCCATTTAGACAGGTCTAATTCCTTTTCTTTGACTCAATATATATCCATTTCTTTGACGGCCCTAAATTCTTTTCATTGACATATCTAACATCTTTTCTGCTTGAAAGGTCTAAGTCTATTTCTCAGACTTGTTTTAATCCATTTCTCAGGCTGGTCTAAATCCTTTTCTTTAACAAATCTTAATCTTTTTCTTTGACATGTCCAGAATGCTTGCTATTCTCATACATCGTGTATTTTGTTTGAAACGTTGTGTGAAGAAATATTCTGGACAATGTAAGGCTCACATTTTTGTGGACCACAAGATGTGAATGTTAGCCCCTAATGTTCCCAAACTAAGTTTGTAGATATGTTTTTATATCGTACGTCACACATTGCCATGCTGTTAAAGACCAGGCTAGAACAAGGTGTTTTCCTTCTCTCTACAGACAAGGGGGATACTTTAGTTTTACAAGACACGTGGAGGAGGCAGAAGATTTCTTTGCAGAAGTTTGGAATTATGAGAAGTTGTGTATTACTAATTCACATGTTTTTTGTTAAAGTAATTAAGTGAATGGTTATGCTGTTGTGGTTTCTGAGATTCCTTGGTTTTTGGATGTGCATGTGCAACTGTGTTGTAAAAGTTGTGGCTAACTAAGACGTCGTTGTTGCATGCTGTTTCGGTTTGGATTCTGCTGTTTGGAAATTGTCCCCATGCTTGACATCCATTCCTCAGTGTAAGAGCAGGCTGACATAGAGAATAGGTTAGTTACAATGCTGAGGGTTTGTTTGTTTGTTGGTTTGTTATCCATTGGTTTGTCAGCGAGCCTGACCACCCGATCATGTTAGTCGCCTCTTACGACAAGCATAGTCGCCTTTTACGGCACTGAGGGTATGTGTCTTTGTATCACAGCTGTGTTTCTGTTAATCATGCAACCACTGGTTTGGCTGGTCCATATTATTGGATGTTCTTCACTGAGTATCTGTCTTTAGTGTGTTGAGGGAGACCCGTGCAGATCCGGGTAGAGAATAGGTCTTCAGCAACCCATGCCTGTTGTAAACCGCGACTATGCTTCTTTTAAATGGCGACTTACAGGATCAGGCGGTAAGGCTGGTTGACTTGGTTGATGTATGTCATCGTATCCCAATGGCTCGGATCAATGCTCATAATATCAATCACTTGATTGTCTGGTCGAGACTCGATTATTTACAGACCTCCGTCATATAGCCGGAATATTGCTGCGTGCAGCATTAAACAAAAAAACATCAAAGCATTGACTGGAAACAAGATTATTTTTAGTTGGCCTCAAAGAACTATTTCCTTTGCTTATAAGAATGAGTGATGACAACTAGTGGTGTCTGTAGTTGCTATTGTTAGTCTCCAAGTAGATGAGGTATTGTTTGTGGCTGTGGCTGACTTTTGATATGGGAGAAACTAATATATTCCTAGAAATAGAACAATAGTTCTGTATGACTATTGATGAGCCAGAGTTGAAGTAGAAGCAGTCTTTAATAGTACAAAGTATTATGAATACCCCGGACCCTTTCTTTGGCCATAGCTTTCTTTCGGAAGTGATGCCACAGTCTAATTCTCACCTATCCCTACTGATCACAATGTCTATCGCTTGCGAGGGTATGTGTCATGACGGAATGGAGATATGGTGAACTGGATGAGGATGTGATGTATTGACATTGGAGTGTGAGATGTGTGACTATTGAGAATTTTTGTCTCCTGCTTTAGATCATTCTATCTGCCTTCATTCATAGACTGAATTGGATGAGTTACTGTCAGTAAATATTACCACTAGCTCACCAGTCATGTTGATAACACTACTCATATATGGAAGCATAGGAAAGAGAGTGAAAATCATGAGACACAATTTCAAGATCTTCTCAGACTTGAACACTATGGCATGATAAGAAAAGAAGTATTTGGTGTTAGCATACCTGTTGTAGAGTCTTTGTCTGTTCATTCATTATACAGAATGCTTGATTAGAATGTTTATTTTGTAGGTCGATGATGTATTCAGGTGAACTCAAGTTTGAGAAGAGAACGACATCTGCTCAGATAGAGGGAGGTGTGCACGGCTTACACAAGTAAGTGGCTCTCGCATGTCGTACAGGGGTTAACCTAGGTGCGGAGGAATCATGATGTATTTGGGGTGTGCCATCAGGCTAACCACTGCACAAACAGCAGATGAAAAACAGTATGTTTGATGCCTTGAACGTATCATGGATAAGGATTGCCTTGTTTGAACCAAAACTTGTGACTGAGTGGGAAAACCTGACTCTCCAAACGTTCTCTTGAAAAGAAATGTCGGATAAAGTTGATGTATCTGAAGTGGATGTTAATGTTTATGTGTATAGGTTGCAGTGTTTTGGGTGTTGTAAAACCATGCATTCCTTCCTATCATTAATTCCTCCTTGGATCCATTTAGGAGATTAGCATTGTGTGTCTTTAGATAGTGCAAGCACTAAGGCTAAAAAAGTAATAGATTTGGTTCTCAGGTTTTTATTTCCATTTTATAAAAAAAAAAAAAAAAATCCAATGGTAGTCAAATAGTGTATTCCAGTATTTTACTCATCAAGGAATACATATATGTAGGGAGGCCCTTTCCCAGGTTGATTGTACACAATTGTTTATTGGTTACATACTAGTTTGAACAACAAATAAAACAAAAAAGACACTGACCACCCGCACTATATTTTCAAAAACCATTGCCTGAGAACCAATTCTTTTATTTTTTTAAGCCTAATATAGTACCTGAATGCTATGATGTCAGTATACAATTAGGAAGTAAACTTATTCTGTTTTTAAATTTTGAGATGGTTCATTGTTGATGAGGCACTGCTAAATGTAACATTTAGTGATGTTTAGTCAAAGAAAAAACACCTCAAAATTTAAAATCAAATTAGATTTATTTCCTTTCTACAATGAGTATAATGCGTTTTTGAAAACGCAATCTTTGTATTACGCACATATTCAGTGCAATGATGCAGTCAGAAGTGGTTATCGCTCATTATCCATTTCAAATTTAGTAAAATTAACAAATTAAATTAGATCATCCTTCAATGTCATATAAGAATGGAGGATGTTATTTGTTTCCATGACAACTGACCTGCTTGGTAAACAGGTTGCAGAGAAAACTCAACTAAATGGTAGTTGTTCGGATAAGTTTGTTGATCACATCTTAATGAATGCAGTGTCCATTTTCCCAAGCCGATTGCCTTGTTTTATGAATTGGTATTGGGAAACAAAATACTTCCCAAGAAAAGTATTCTACCCGAGTGAAAAGTCCACAAGATTTCCAATCTTTCCAGTTCCATTTTATGTCTTTTGACCAATCAGATTGCAGGACTCATTAGTTCTACAAAGGTCATTGGTTTGCATCACACACTCTACCTGATGGTATCCTGCCGAATGGGTTTCCATGCCCCACATGGGTATCTTCTGTGAAGCACATACCTGGTGTGCCTAATTGTATTTTGCTGGAATATTGCTAAAAGCAGTTTTAAACCATACTCATTCCCTTATCGACTATGGTGAGTGTGTATGGTTTTATGTTGCTTTTAGCAAGAACCCAGCAATATCATGGCAGAGGACACCAGAATGGGCTTCAGATATTGTACCAATCAGAGGAACACTTTACCCACTAGGTTACCACACCTCCCTTCAATCATGATGGAGAAACTTGGTTTGTGAGCACTATGCCCCATTTAGACAGGCTTGAAGATATTAAATCAGACAGCCTGACCTTGAAGTGTGGTGGTGGTGAACAACTACACCCTGAAACACATCTCTCATTTAGCTGACAATGTTTATGTAACTCAAATACTGTTCAGTGCAATGTTAAATCACTTTATTTCTACCACTGCTGTAGGTTCGGTAGGGGGGAATTAGTTCTTTACATTCTGTGTCCCTGTGGGGATTCCGGAACAAATAGATTCCCACTGTCCCTCACTTGACACAGGAACTATCTAATGAGGACCAGGTGTTTACAGTGCGGCTTGTTGTGCATCGTTGTGACCTGACGACTAGACTTACAGGTCACCGTAATGAAGCCGACTGCTTAACTTCATTCAAGTTTACATTCCTATTCAAGGCGTGTCCTATTCAAGACATTTGGGCTGGGACGAGTCCAAATTGACTACCCGGGTGCCCACCCCACTATTACCCGACCCTACCCGGGTACCCGCTGTAGGTCTCAAGAGATAGGTACAAAATATCTGATTGGGAATAGTTTGTCCATAGCCCTGGCAAAATGTATTTAGATACTCGTATAAAACGATCTGGTCATGCATACACTAAAGTTGACTGGAGTTTTATCTTCATTCAAACATATAAATCAGAAGGAATATGTGCATAGTCAGAAAGAAATGCGAACATTAGTCACTTAGTGTAACCGTGGAAGTTCTAGATATTTTTGGCATTAAACAATATATCACGTGACTAACCACGGGTCCGGGTAGTCCTACTCAGGAACCACTAGACCCTAGTACCCGAGTTACCCGTCCCAGCCCAACAAGACGTGTCCTATTCATTGCACATGATTAAGATTTCTGTTAATTTCTGTTAAGTGAATTATTCCTTTTTTTGTTGCAGCTATGAGAAGAGGTTGTACTGAGCCATATTGCCTTCCAAACTGTCACGATTATCTTGCTCAACATTGCCATGCCGACATGGGCCACAGTCAGGGTCATCTCCAGGACATAGCAGGGAAAAGGCTTTTACAAGCGGATTAATTTACTCTGGCCTCTCTCAGCATTACTGTTTAATTTGAACTGAAAAACTGAGTCATGCAGATCTGTGTTGGAGTGCTTGACAAAGTACTGGTTTCCTGACAACTAGTGACCAGAAAGCTGCTAGTTTCCAGACAACTCCATCTGCTTTCAGCCTGTTTCGGATCAGGTCTTACTCTGATGCAATACCGCTCTATGTGAAGAACAGTCATAGGAGGTCACGTGAGGTGAACTAATCACCAATTCAGTGACAACTGAAGCAGAGCAGCATATCTGATTTCTGTATATTGAAAACAAACATTAACAGTCAGTTCCAGCAGCTGTATTTCATACATCCTCTCATTTCTGAGTGCCATGACATCTACACCGATAAGGGTGTACTATCAAGGGTGTATGTGTGTTTTCTCTAGGTTCTCTTTTTCGATAAAACAATTTCTGAATTGAAAAATTGTTTTTGAAAGCTGACATCTGATTGCCTTAAATGGCAAGTAAAGTCAACATTGCAACTTTGCATATTTTAATACTTTAGTGCATACTTAATCACAAATGCTTGACCAAAATGAAATTTGAAAATTATATAGCATAAAACAGATGATAAAAACCGACATGTGAAATCATCACCAAAACGAAAAATTCCACCAGAAAGGGAGAAGGTTTCAGCACTCTTTTACTTGGATATTTAAGTTCTTTCTACAAATATGATGCCTTTTTTCTATCCTTGAAGTTGACTAAACGTATTAACAAAAATATCGCAATCATATTTTTTACTTTTCTTGCCCTTTAAGAACCCATTCATCCTTCATTTGCACTGGACATTCACCTGACAGGTCCTCCCATTGAGGGTTTCTGAGATCTTCACGCAGAGGGGTATCGTATCAGAGTAAAACTATCCGACTTTGATGCCATATGCACTGCCAACAGCAAATGCCTGGAGTATGGATAGAGCCAAGCCTGACAGGAGACTGCAATAATCTGATCCTCACGTCAGACCAATGTATTCCAAATATAATCATGCTTCTGCCATTGAGTGTTCAATTTATTCTTATCTTGCTTTTCATTAGCATTTTGACAGTTACTTATAAGGCAAAGCCAACAGTAGAGACACTTTTTGTTTCCAGCAACATTTAGTGGTTGGTGACATATTTACACTGAATGCCATTGAATGTTGCTAAAGGGTACAAGTCTACATCAGATCGTGGTAGTGAGTAGTCTGTCAACTTCACGTTAGATACTGATATGCGGTACAAGTGTAGGCTGGACAAGTAAAGTAATTGTTTTTCTTGATATTAACTACTGATATTAAGTGTAGTATCAGTTTGATTTTTCACTAAATGCTGACATTGAGTACATTACTTTTATTAAATACTGTTATCAAGTGACATGGATATAACGTTTTACAGTTTGGGATATGGAATTTTGTGTCAGTTTTTTGCTGGAGACAAATGATTGTTTCTGCTGGTCTTTGCCTTCATTCATTATATATTTTACACAATATGCATTCCTTGCAGTCAAAAGGGTTGTGTAGCAAACTGTAACTGATGCCAGTAACACTGTGAAGTGATAGCTGTATCGTTGCACGTCATCTCACATCATCGATTGTCCAATATATCTCCATTCTATTACCATACATGCCCTGGACCCACAAAACTAAGAATAGCATATAATAATACTATGGGAAAACTTGCCCTAAAAATCATTTATTAAAGTCTTCAGAATCGGTTAAATGTATCAAGAGCATTTTTTAGGAAGGCGCAATTTTTCATTTAGATCTATGCCAACCTCTTTCAGAATACTCGGTTTGATTGGTTGTTGATTTGAATGTGAGGAATTCTCTCCTGCGTTAGTGATAGAGAGATTGAGCATGTGGCGTCACTTCACACACTAATCTATGGTGGCAAATGTGTTAAAATAGAATGGAGAGGCAATATATTTGATTATCAAGGATGGTTGTCTTGTGAAATTTTGCTATTTTGTATTTATATCTACTCCTCTTTTATATTACAATTTATGTTAATGATTGTGTCACAAGATTGCTTGTTAGAGCTGTGCAGAGTGCCAGTTGAAAATGCCTTCCATTTTGTGTCACGGCAATCGTTCAGTTTACAGTTTAAGGGTATTTTTGCAGATGCTATGCTCGTGTTTTCTAATGTATGTCAAATAATTTCCTGTCAAGCTTGTTGAATCTTGGAGTTCAGTATGATTGCCAATTCCTCCATGTATTCTGATCATTTTGTGCCCTGGGGCTGAGGACTCCTGAATGGGGTTCGGGTGAGTCCCATTGTGCAGTGTGTCCCTTCACGTGGGAACAAGGTTCTCCATGATACGTCAGGTAAACGAAGGAGCAACTTCTTGACAGGTTTTCTATTTGTAAAAAATTCATGATCGACCAAATACTCATCCAAACTATTTTCTTATCGGTCTGGATTTTCTGATCTTTGTTTATCTCACTGGAAGTCACTGTCGATGATGATGTAACGATTTATATTCATAAACATGTCTTGCCTGTTATGACAACCTTGGTAACAAAAGGTTACGGTAATCATCTTCTCATTCTTGTGATGGACACTGAAGGAATTATTTTTGTCCAATCTGACAAATGTAGATCTGGTTTCCTACCGTGAGAACTGATATCTTAGAGGTGTGTCATTCACCTAATTCTCTGCAAATATTCTCACTTTAAAACTTGCAACAACCGAAATATGAAAGGCCTTATCAGCCTCATCCACTATATGGTTTTGATTGTCTGGTTCAGAATCGATTTTTTACAGACCGTCGTCATACAGCCGGAATGTTGCTGAGTGTCTTTCAACACACACACAAACAGGTTATGGCACCTGTTGTCAGTTCACATTTTCATTGTCTTCAGACCCATTAGAGACCAATGAAGCTGATGCTAAGGGGATGATCTTCTTTATGCTCGCCTCAAGTCATCTTCTTGCAAAGTGTAGTTTGGTTTCCATGGCAACCATGTTTAAAATGGTATCGTAAGCTGTAGGCCTTATGTTTACACTTTACTTTCATGAGAGTTTGTATATGAATTGAATTTAATAGGTCTTCTTTGGTAAAGTCTTCTTCCTAGTACACAGTATTTTGATTTTTTAGTTCCAGTCCTGAACTGACAATCCCTAGATGGCTGGTCAATGTTGTCTGTATTGTATGTAAACATATGTTAGTGTAAAATTGGCGTCCTTAACCACTGCAGAGTCCAAAACACAATGTAGTTGGTGATAATCCCAGCATCAAAGTGCAAATACGATATTTATTTCTTTTTCATAACTTTTTTTGAAGTTTTTTTAACTTCCAGTGTGGATTTATGTGACTTTTTCTCCAGGTAAAAACATACCTGTTTTGTTGTGTATGATTGCTATGGCACAATGCTGTCCATGGACAATTATGTGATGTCAACTTCTGTTTTTATAATGAAATCATAAGTTATGTTTATCTTCTTGGCAGAGAATTTGCTTGAAGTTATTCATTGTTTCCGCAAGAAGTACTCCTATAATGTCCTCTGCAATATGTCAGTGGCTTACCTTTTATCGTTTGTTTTAAAAAGTTGACAAAAATGAATACTGTGTTGTAACGAGGATTCCAAATGCATGACCATTTCCGAACATCTTTCAACATACAAGTCTACATTCCTTGGCATATTACATAAATACTACAAGTCAGTATTATCATGAAGAAGTTCATTCATCGAGAAAGTTGAAATTATCGGGATTTTTTCAGTATGATATTTCCCGTTGCATTTTATTTTTTTTCAGAAAGCTTTCTTTCGAATCATGACTTCGATACCATTGAACTCTCTTCGCTAGTAAACCCTTTGTCATTTATAACAAATGTGACTTTACTAAGTTAGGAAGCTGAACAACTTATCTGAGTGTCAGTTTGTCTGATGATTTCTGATGATCATGTCTTTGTTGCATTTTACATAGTTCTGTTGATAGAAGGATAGATATATCCTGTACTTGTCCAGGGATTGCACCATTTTGTTGCATATCAGTTGCATAGTCCTACCCTGATGATGAATTCTTATTGTTATTGATGCACCTGAGCTAAAGGACATTGTATTAATGCCACAGCATAATGACTACTTGTTTGTCAAAATTGCAGCATTCTTATCTTTGGTGGTGTTTTTACAGGAGATTATGTAGCTTCAAGACTGCCATCCAAGCCGAGATGGTGGAACATTGTGTCATCGTACCCTGACTGCGTGAACCTTTGTTCATGCTATCAACCACTGATCGGCCATGCCTGGACTCAATTGTTTACAAGCAATTCAGAACAGCTAGAATATGGACCACTGCAACATTAATCAAAAGCCATGCATTGCATGAAACCTGACTGTTGATTCAAATATGGGCAATGCGTTGTTAAATATAGACAAGGACAATTTAACATGCGTGCATCCACTGGAAACTCATGAATTGTTATGAGTAATTTGTCGTTAAGTATTTAAATACTAGTATTCAACACCAGCTCAATTTTTAACCAAGCAATCTGACAAACAGTTTTCAGTTTGTTGTGGCCTGACCATGTTAGGGTGGAATGATTGAACAGTACCATAAGAACAAGTGCTGTTGTAAAACTGATGAATGACACAGGGAGCATTCATTGTACTGTACAGATGCAGTGCTATAGAATACAATGCATAGAATAGTGTACATAGATCAAGTTATATGCCTTCAAGTATATGTTGTTTCATACAAGTGATGTGTATCTATTTTATGGCAGTATTGTTCATGTTCCTGAAGTTTGGAACAAATCATCCTAGAGCAAATTGTGTATATTTGCCCACTGTGTACAAGTGATTGTATACTCAACCTAAAAAAAAAGTTACAATAAAGATAGTTAGAATGTTACCCTATTTTCTTTTCCTTCTTTTGTCGGGAGAACTTTCTTTTCTTTTTCTTTTTTTTGTCTAGCGCCACTCAGCAATATTCCAGCTATATGATGGCGGTCTGTAAATAATCAGCGAGCCTGACCACCCAATCCTGTTAGTTGCCTCTAACAACAAGCATAGTTGCCTTAAACTGCAAGCATGGGTTGCTGAAGATCTATTCTAATCCTTTGTGAGAACTACTCAAATCATTGCTGCCCGAGAAAGTTGATATTGCTTGAACATTGGGTAGGGCAGTGTTGTATTGCCGTTCTCTGAGCAATGCTTTTAAAAGATATTTAAAAGCACCATTTGCCAAGTATTGATGACCACTCGCGGCAGTTAAGACTGTTGACCACTGTTGTTGTTGCTCGGTATTGATAAAGTATGCTAACCAATAAAGACCATCACAAAGCCGTGAAAACGTGGAAGGTGTCAAGTCGACACTGTTTGAAGCGCTCCTAAAATCTCCATATATTCTGAAGTGATCATACAACTGTAGAGTTTGGTGTTCATACCATTGACCACTGTCGAGAGATGTTTAATCATAACGCAACCCACATGTAGGGTAGCTTGGTCTGGTGGTTAAAGCGACAGCACTGCGCGCTCTTGCCATGAGTTCAGTTCCGCACATGGACACAGTGCTGTTCATCCAACAATTAGTGCCTTTGAAATATACGTACTGCGGACACCAACCGAATTAAAGAATGGCCTTTTGCAACTAATAGAAGGGTTAAGGCAATTCTTTACTCATTTTAATTCCCATGCAGCCTCAGAGGCAAGGCATATGTGTGTTCACCTTCACTGTGTACTGATAATGACAACAAATGGCGCATGGTGGTGAGGACACACGGACATAGTCGACATAGTCATGGACGGCCGTAATTGTCAACGCCTAATCGGTGCCAGGATATGCTGGCTGTGTGTTCGAATACGCGATTCGCTTGATTATTAGCCTTGGGTTTTCTGCACTACATCCACACATTTACTGAGCTTCTATCACAGTCCACTACTTTGATGTAAGCGTTCTAATGTAGACCTCATTTCTTTCATACATAGCCCGTTACCCGTTTCCTTTTTTCTACCGTACTTCAAACTGTTACTAAATGTAACGTAAATCTACTATATCCCGGGTCAGAGGCTCGGTCAAAGGGGAATACCTCTAATTTAACTATTAAATGAGATATATGAGGGCAATATTATATCTCTAAGCTCATAAATATTACCATATACTTGTAATCGGTAAAACCAAATTTCATGTGATGAAAATCAGGTTTTAAAGCCTCACGAATGCATTCATGCACGCACGCACGCACGCATGGCAATATAATCATTGTGAAAACGCTCTTTTTAACGCTCGACACAATAAACTGCATAATTTGCAATACAAGTTTTTATACGAGTGTTTTAGTTTCACACCGCTTTTTGCAATATTCAAGCAAAATTGCTTCGGTGGACCGAGCAATTGCCATCGCATCTTGTACCAGGTTGGGGGAACTGAACACTGGTTACGGCGTGACGAACGAACGCTCTAACCACGAGCCTACCACACCGCCCCACAAGATAGTAGGGCTGCCACCGTGGCCTAGTCGACAGAGCGTCTCGTCCAGGGATCCCCGGCCGTGTCATACTAAAAGACGCTAAACGATCATACTTCTTGTTACCCTGGGTGTGGCTTGATAAAGGATACAATACAATTATAGGTATGGGCATAAGAAGACAGGATCACAGGAACCCAGTTAGATAAATAGGACTGACGTTGGTATCTTATCCATAACAACTTGTCCTTGTTCATCACGCCAACTTCTAACTGGCGCTCAAAGAAGAAACACATCGCTTCAGTTTGGAATACAAATATTTAGAGTCCGTGTGTGGCTTAATATATTAACTATTGATATAAGTTCGTAACCCTTCGCAGCTTTCAAAATGCCATGTCTGTCGCCTTAACTCTCTGACTGACCCAAGAGCAGTGAAACAATCGTATTCTCATCTCCATTCTACACTCACTTTTTAAGAAGTTCCTTAAGAAGCTCTATGTATGATACTCTATCCCTGATCCCACTCTACATGCCAACATTTCCTCTCAAGGCGCTAGTACATTCTATCCCTGCTCCCACTCTACATGCCAACATCTTCTCTTAAGACGCTAGTACATTCTATCCCTGTTCCCACTCAACATGCCAACATCTTCTCTTAAGACGGAAGTACATTCTATCCCTGCTCCCACTCTACATGCCAACATCTTCTCTTAAGGCGCTAGTACATTCTATCCCTGCTCCCACTCTACATGCCAACATCTTCTCTTAAGGCGCTAGTACATTCTATCCCTGCTCCCACTCTACATGCCAACATCTCTTCAGCTTCTAGAATACTCAAAACCTGCTCCCGCTCTACATGCCAACATCTTCTCTTAAGACGCTGGTGCATTCTATCCCTGCTCCCACTCTACATGCATACATCTTCTCGTAAGACTTTATTGCAACCTATACCTGCTCTACATTCCAACAAATTATCTCCGTGCAAAGGATGAAATGGATTTCATGGTCTACAGCGCGTATCATTCGCCGTCCTCACCATCATTGACAGCATTCAAATCACCAATCAAGGTGTGTTTATTCAAGAAAACTAGAGCTGTTACATAAATGAGTGCACATTTCAATTCAGGAGTGTCAGGGTGTGAGACTGTCGGATTAATACGTCTAAATAGCACTGATTTAATAAAAGCCGACTGTCGGATTAAGGAGATTTGCCTATACTTTGTGATGATCGCCGCCGCCATATAAAGCTTATAACTTTGTAACTTTGTTTCGGGGACTATATTCGCCAGTCTAGGAGCGCAGACATTTGCCATTATTCCCTTCATCACCATCCTCGCTAATCCAATGCCAGTGTATTTTGTTTCAATTATATACTTGTAAAAGTAAATATCCCATACCCTCTCCCTTTAAACATAATAATGGAACTGTTGGACTATTCTTGACCCGATGCCGCTGACATGTTCACAATAGTTCCACGGATACATTGACTCAGTTTCAATATGCTGTAATCTATCTTTTCAGAATCAATAATTAAGAATAAACACCATAATAATGATATTCTTTTTAAAATCTTGGATTCGCCCGCCCCATGTGCCGTATAAATATGTACTAATGTCACCGTTGTAAGGAGCGCGATTCATTCCATTCTCATTTCATCTAGCACCTGCTGAGACTGCATGAGCGTCCACATTAAAAAAAACCAGAGCGGCCACGAAAATGTTGAAATACGGTATTTTCTCGGTTAGGGACCCAATACTGGATGAAAAAAAACACGTATGTTCTAAATGAAAACGTTAAGCCTAAATATGTTTTTTAAAGCCTCTTGCAACGTTTTTTTCTTTGGGTCGACAATTTCATTTTTTTAACAGTTTGAAGCATTAATATGTTTTCGACCATTTTCAGGGACAATTTATTTTTTCCGAGGTGTATCGGCCAATGCATACTCACGCGTACAGTTTTGTAATAACTATAAAAGAAAAAACTGTTATGTGCCTTTAATGACTTGAGCAAAGCGTTCGACTCTATGTGGCGAGTCGGGCTTTGGCACAAACTATACTGTCCTATTATGTTTCTGGAAGGTATTTCAATGTTATTTATAATAAGTATAGAAATATCAAATAATGTCTCCTCAGTAAAGGTAACTACTCTGAGCTCTTCCCATGCTACAATTGGGGTGCGAAAGGGTGAAAACCTGTCACCCTTACTTCAATCGCACTTATTTCAATCTCATTAAAATCAGATCTATGTTCTCACTGCCGCTAAACAAAGATCTTTGTTTAGCGATAGCGAGAACAAAGATCTGATTTTAATGCACACCACTTACTACGTTATGTGGGGAAACTGGACCTTTCCCGTTATCTGTATGCATTAAGTGTTCTTTGTTATAGGTCAAAATAAGTGCAATCAAAATCTGCGAAGTTGTCACATATGGTGTATAAATTATTACTAAATGATGTGACTTCTGGTATCTGTAAACATAAATGGGTTATTAATGAACTATTAATACTAGAAGATCTGGGATTTGGTTGTGTTTGGCTGTCACAATGCGGACTCGACATAAGTAACTATAGATCCTTTATATCCAGAAGACTTAAAGACCAATACTAGTATTTAGAGGTCTGGAACAATACAATTACAAACTCATCAAAAACCTTATCTTATAAGATTATTAAAGACTGTATATCATTTGAGCAATCCTTAATATTTTGTAAAATATAGAATGCCACTATTGTACTTTAGATTATCAAATCATCAGCTCCCAGTAGAAACTGGCAGATGGAAAAAAGTACCATTGTATGAAAGAAGCCGTCCAGTCTGTAATAAAATGGATATTGGAGATGGATTCCACTGTATTTCTGTCTGTACTTTTTCAGTAACGAACGCATTAGATATCTACCAACATACTTCACACATCATCCCAAAGTTCTCTCTTCTAAAGCCAAAAGATTGTATAGTTAAAAATCTCAGTAACTTTTTAAATTGTATTTTAAAACGATTTAAGTCCTCCCGGTAATTTCAATATCACTGTATTCCTGTAACTATTGTACCCAATGTCTCCCCGTTCGCAAATCTTGAAAATACACATTATGTACATGTATTGTAGCCCTCGTATGCCGTGGTTCACGGCCAGAGTGGAAATAAAGTTCTGTTCTGTCGCGTGACAACCTTAGTGTTACATCTCACTCCGGGTGAGTACATATTTATTTACCTTTTCCATCTATGTTTATCATAATGTTTACGTATCACGACTAACAAAATTAACCGAAACGGACGTAAAATAATCACTCTCGGCAGCGCGGTAATGACAACTAGAAGGCTCGGTGTTTGTGGCCCAGGCGGGGGACATACAAATATTAATGGAATTTTTCTAAGTCTTATGAAAAGGAGAGGTGTAAGGGCCAATGTACATTAAAAGAAAAGAAACTATGGCAGCGAAACCTGCATTTAAATTATATTTCCTATCATTTCCGCGTAATGTAACTGACAAGGTATGATAACAGTAAGTAGCTATGCGACTGATAAATGTGTCCTATGTACCTTGGTTTGTTTCGGTCATCGTAAATTAAACAAAAACAAATTATTAAACAAAATGATACAACTATACCCCGCCTAAATAACGAAATTCGTGAACATTTTTAACAAATTATTTCATCCCTGTCCCTTGTTGTCTTGAACAAATAATTTGAATACTGAGATCTGCACTATGTAAGTTTCACAACAGAAACGACGGGAACTGCATTCCACCGCTAAATGTTCAATCTAAGTCAAAACATCCCACTTAACTTCAAGCAAGAAATAGCCCACCAATTAATTACTAGTATATATCCTGTAATTACCTCACATTTTTTGTGATAGCATGCATGAAGTCTAATATAGACTTTTATAAAATTTACATTCATAATCTGAATAGACTGCTTATCATTATTCTTTTCGGGAAATTTAGTTTTTTCATTTTTGTGAGAAAATGTGAACTTTTTTTTTTCCTTAGAGGTGTTCGAAATGTATAAAATTACTTATTCTCAATATTTTTTGTACGTATTTTTTCGATCAGGCAGATCTTTTTTGTACAATAATATATGTTCAATGATAGTAGATCAACTGTTTGTTATGCATGGAAAAGTGAGCAGAACCTCAGTGTTGTTATATATAAATCAAAACCAATCCGTTGTTTGTTTGTAACATTAAGAAACCACATCATACTGATAAAAAAACAACACAGCATTGGTCTGAACATTTCAGTAAAATTACTTCTCCCTTTCAAGCCAGCCAGCCAATATCTCGCGTCTGTCTGCGCTTTCATCCGGGTCTTGGTCGTTCGCTAGGGAGGTCGCCATATTTTGCTTTGTGGAGAGGAAAACAGCCTAGTGGTTTGAAAACTTCCTGCTTTTAATAAGCGTTCTCTGCTCTTTTAAAGTAGTTTGATTGATTCGATTTTACTCTATTCTATCATTTTCAGGTTGTTTTCGACCCTGACAACTGCCAAGCTGGCTGAAATGGCATTGCGTCGTCCGTTTGATCCTGCGGCACATGAGTTGGATCCCAATTTCCGACTCACCAAATTTGCTGACCTAAAGGGATGAGGGTGTAAAGTCCCCCAAGAAGCTCTGCTCAAGCTTCTTGAGGGACTGCAACAGGAAAGCAATGCCCAGGATGCGGAGTCGCAATTCCAATACATGGCGCCCGTTCCGAGGATTGGTAAGATGCATTTATTGATGATTTTTGTCCGTAATTCATTCGAGTCTCATTTCCGTCATATCTCAACTCCGACACCCAGTTTGGGGCATTTATGTAGTATTGTCAGATACAATGTTTCCTCAAATGGTTGCTTTGTTAACTTTGTGATGATTTGATCGGTGTTGCGTTGCCTTTAATACCTGTGGTAGTACTGATGTCACTTATCTAGGTCATGAATGAGCTCCACCCCGTTCAGACCTCTTCTAACCAAGATGGCGTCGATAACCGGGTCTTATTGTTTGACCACGTGGTGTTGTCACATGGCGCGAAACTGATGATAGTTCAGACACATCACATGGTTGCCATATAAGCGTATCACGTGATTGATGGGCGGGCATAACATTCGCCGATTAAATTACAAATTGTGACCTAGTTAAAATAAGATATAGAATTCTAAATAAAATTACTATAAAATATATAATAAAAAAATAATAATAAAATAATAAATTAGTTGGGACATAACATAACAGTTACAACATAATTGTGATAATTAGAATGGAAAACTTGCTGAATATTGATATGATCTGTAGGTATGAGGTACAAATTAATATTAATGTATGAAATCAATAATATTCACAATATCCACAGATTACACAATCAGAATATAGTCATTGAAAAAACATCTCAGTATTGTCAGCCTCCAGGGGAGGTTCAATCATGACTAAAAGAGACTGCCATTATACTTCTGAATAATAAGAAATAAACAGTTGTGAGAATATGCAACTTGCTTATTTTGGAAAAAGCAGTCCCACTGATAAATGAATTTTAACATTTTTAAATGATTTGGTTTGAAAAGATTTACATCCAAGTCAAAAGTCTCACATACTTTTTCCAGGCATTGGAATGGACGCATCAGTCACGCCTCTGCGTCATGGTGGTCTCTCATTGGTTCAGACGACAGATTTCTTCTACCCTTTGGTTGATGACCCCTACATGCAGGTAACAGAAAAGGAACACTAACATTACCTTTAGTTGTGTATAGATGCTGTCAAGAGAGGACAACTCAACTCTAAAGAATGGACACACCGACTTAACTGCTTTGCTGTGTTTGTAACTATAACAGCTAACTATCTCAAACTTGGCTCTTACAGAAGGTTTTAGTGTTGTTATATGAAGTATTATTGATGATCTACACGGAACAGAATTTTACTCGAGCCACGGAAAAGTAGCTAATGTTGCAGACTGCTGTTGTAAATTTCCCGGGATTATTTTTTCCAAAATAACCTTTTTGCAAAGTAGCAATATTTTGCTGCCAATACATTTTGGTGAAGAATTTTAATTATAGTCAGATCTTTATAGAAGTTCTCCCACAGTTGCAGGATTTTAATAAGACAAAGCATAAGAAGTTAAAATAAAAGCTATACAAATACATACCCTATTTTAAAGTGTAATGTAATTATCATGGCATTTGTTTTTAGTGATGGAGTGACTTTTATGTTGCTTTTTTGTGTCAACTGATCAAAAGCCTTTAAAGGAAGATCAGTACCTGACTACCTGCAAATACCTGACAACATGAATTTCCTCTCAGTGTCACACCATCAATTGTGATGTTCAACACCACTCAGTCATGTTGGGGGAATGGCTGTGCAGAGTTGCCTCCCTTAGGATTAGGTTTACTAGAAACTTATGATTGTGGGTTCAAATCCAAGATTTGCCGCCTGATTTTGTTTCACGATACCCGTGCAGGTGGGTTTCGCCAAAGTGGTAAACGTCCGAGACCTGCACCACTTCAGGCTTTTCTCCCACTTTATGCTGATTTGCGTGACAAGATTGAAATACTGTTCAAAAAGAAGTTCAACCAAATTCAATCATTGTCATTTTGTACAAATAAATTTACACTGTCTCTCTACTTTCCACACAGGGCAAGATTGCTTGTGCCAACGTGTTAAGTGATTTATACGCCATGGGCGTAACAGATTGTGACAACATGCTGATGTTACTGGGTGTCAGTAACAAGATGTCTGAGAAGGAGAGGGATGTCATTGTCCCGATGGTGATGAGGGGATTCAAGGTAATACCTATACAAGAATAGAAATACAAAAAACACTGTGTGATTTGTATCCCTTAGTCACTGTTAAATGCAAGAATCTGGTGCTCATTTATTCAAATCCCAGACTTGTGCTAATTCCAAATAATGTGTTGGTCTCCTGGCACTATATCAGTTGAGAGGGGCGGGGGGGGGGGTCACCTGACAGTTAGATGGGTCATTTAAACAAAGTGCTTTACTTAAGGCTTTCCTCCTATATTAGTCTAGCATGACATATGAAAGTATGTTAAAACTGACATTAAGGCCAACTTGCTTGCTCTAAAGATGCCAGGATTCTATAGAAATCTAAGTATTGAATAGGACCTAAACGTCAGAAGGCTAATGAACATTTAGTTGACAAAAACAAAACACCAATTTAGAACAATTTAAAAGAATGTGACTTGTCACAGTCAATTCCCAAGTTGACTGTGGAGGTATGATGTAAATTTGCGTCCTTTCATTCAGGTATATAGACCAAAGGAAAAGGCTTGTATTTCATATCACCCTCAAGCCAATCAAACCAGCTCGTGAGATGCTGGATATGTTTGATCTGTAGGTTTGCTAGTCAGGGTTGTCTGCCATGTTTCCTTTGTTTCTGTGCCCAGGACTGTGCTGAAGAGGCTGGATCACAGGTGACTGGTGGTCAGACTGTCATCAACCCATGGATGACCATTGGGGGCGTCGCCACATCAGTCTGTCAACCCAACGAGTACATCATGTAAGTTACAAGACAGTATGCTGCCAGGAATCATTTGAAAGAAACCTTTTAGTTCTCCTAGGGAATCCATCTATCATTGATGAGGTGATGGCAGTTGACACTAATATTGTGGTTGTAAATCGTGCAATATAAAATGGTGGGTATGCAATGTAATCTTAATAAAATAATATCGTGAATATGATTCAAGGAGACAATTGAGTCATGTTATCAAACCTGTTTTGGAATATTTGGATTTTGCAACATGCTGGTGTCCAAATAGAATGAATATACAGTAGATAATAAACAATAATTTAAGCAAAATAAAGTTTTATAATCTTGATAATGTCGCGACTTATTTGAATTCAATAAATAACCTTACACCAATCAGTGAGAATTAATCATCCACATATTTTTTCAAACTCTATTCTTCTAGTATCATATCCAAAAGTGTTGATGTTTTCCATACAACATGTGACCATGTCAGAAACATTTTGATCCTCGTTGTGTATATCATTCAATCATGTCAATAGTTCTTGTCACTTTTTAAAATGCGTTCTGTTTAATCTTCTTTCAAGCTTTCTACTTGCTTGAAATTTTCAGATCTATATATCATGTGTGTAAATGCAAATACACTAAAAATATATATTAAGGAAATCAGTTTTGCTTAATGACTTCGATAAAAGTCTGACACTGACAGTTTTGATGTTGTGGGACAAAATGGTAGATTCTATGTCATTTCAGACTTTCTGATTGGTCAGTTATGTTGTTTGATTGACAGGTAGCAAAAGTTAATTAGCCCAGTCTTTCACAAAGCTCACCTGAATTTACAATGCTGCATTAGTATAACTGACTACCTCCCTTCCTTCAGGCCAGACAATGCTGTGGTCGGGGATGTGTTAGTGATGACGAAGCCGCTGGGTACACAAGTAGCGGTCAACGCCTACCAGTGGTTGGACCAGCCAGAGAGATGGAACCGCATCAAGCTGGTGGTCAGCGAGGATGACGTGAGGAAAGCTTACCAGCGGGCAATGTTCAGCATGGCAAGACTCAACCGAACAGGTACCTACCTTAGGCAACCTAGAAGTACTTTGTTGAAAACAGATTAAATAGACATGTCTGCCATGAAATGGGATAATTTTCACGGCTGACTGGTAAATAATAGAGGAAGGAAACAGATACTTCTTAACATTTGATCAAACCCCAATGAGGTGATTATTCAATGATATAAAAACTAAGCATATGAGATATCATGCAACTTTGTTGTCAACTTGTGAGAGACTAGGCGCTCTTGGAGGATCTATAGTAACTTCTAAATAGTGTCATGACAATTTTGACATGTTTATTTGTTATTTGTATTTGATAACTAGCTTTTTTTTGTTCATACACTTGTAAGTTTTGAACTTACGACATAAGGAAGGCTAAATAAGTGAAAAGGGCTTGCTGCTACATTTGGTGTTCTTATCTTGGTTATAAGTCCAAAATATACAAGTGTTGAAAATTATAAGTCTGGTTCTCATTCGCTGGAACACATCTGATTAATATTATAACTGTTTCTAAGGGTGTTGCTAATTTCTTGGAGGAGCTCTAACCGTACCTCATGTTTGGTGTAAGCAAGCTCAGGTGACTTTCTTTCTGTATTGTAAGCTAAATATCCTAAATGGGATAATTCCTATCACAAGTTGCATATGTTTTGCCAGGGTGCAGTGTCCAGTAATTTATCTGCATACAAGACGATTGACTGTTGAGCTATGTTGTGTTGCAGCTGCACGCCTGATGCACAAGTATAATGCCCATGGAGCCACTGACGTCACAGGCTTCGGACTGCTTGGCCACGCCAACAATCTTGCCAAAATCCAGAAGAACGAGGTTGGGTTCGTCATCCACAACCTGCCAATCATTGCCAAGATGGCGTCAATCAGCAAAGCATGTGGAAACATGTTTGGTCTGCTGCAAGGACACTCAGCAGAAACTTCCGGTATGTATCACTATGTTGCCTGTCTGTCTGTCCTTCTATCTGCAGCATTAGAAATTGGCACTAATCCTGTACTCCTTGCCCAACTTCCCAATAGTTAAGGTATCATAAGGACAAGTAGAAATGTATCATTTTTAAGGATTTTGCCATATTTTATCATTATAAGGTCTAGTGGGCTGAAAATGTTAGTTTCTACTGCTGATTTGTCTGTCCGTCTTGCTGCAATAACTTAGGAGTGCATAAGAAATATTTGAAAAAGCTCTTGTGTTTTCAAGAATTCATTTGATTGTATCATTACTATGGAATAATTATTACACAATGGCTTACAAACATATTTCAAATCAAACAGGTAACTCAAAGAAGGTTTGGCAAAAGACAGAGCAAATTTCTAATATGTTTTGTTGTGGAAAATTTGATTGGATGAAATTAATGTCTGCAGTTGTATCTTGCCCAGGTCAAAACATTTTGTGTGAATTGTGTTACCGATAAGCATTTTATCCCCCAGATAGACGTCCTAATAATTATTTTGTTAATTTCCAGGAGGTCTGCTGATCGCACTACCCCGAGAGCAAGCTGCAGCTTTCTGCAAGGACATTGAAAAACAAGAGGGTTACCAGTCCTGGATTATTGGAATTGTTGAGAAAGGCAACCGCACAGCCAGAATTATAGACAAGCCACGGGTCATTGAAGTGCCCGCCAAGGACCGTGATGGGGAGTTGTGGTAGTCATGGAAATGAGGAATATTCTGCACAGCATCATTATTTCAATGCTTGTTCTCTGTAAATAATTTGCAAAGTATTGAAATGAAGGGACCTTAAAATCGGTGGACATTTGATTTGCATTTACTCTTGCAAGCAGCTAGCTGTGCAGTTCTTAATATCCCTTTTTTATCCTTCTGCAGCAGTTTTATCAAAAAGGTCAAGTTCGTGACACATACGAGTTAAACATTCCATCACTGCAGTTTTAAGTTCGAATACCCCAGCTCCATCTTGTATGTGATAGCACAAGAAATATACATTATGGAGAGATATTTTATACTTGATTAACAGGTTACAGATGTTTTCCTAATTTGAAAGCGAAATTGATTTTTTGATGATATTTTCTGTCATTTACACTTCCTGTACTTGAACAGGTTTTATGAATACTTTTTAGAATTGATTGTTTCATTGTCATTGCTTCCATGCTCGAGCCAAGTAGATGTGAGCAAATCCACTTGGTTTTCAGTGTGTAAAAGTTGTCATGTCTATCAGATTCTCATTCCTATCTCTATGAAGCTTGTCGGAGTAATTCTTCTTCAAAGATTCTGACATGGCAGACCTCGATAGGCAATGACAGAGTGACTTACCAACTTTTTCATTTCATTATCATGTACACCAAAGAAATAAGAATAAATCTTGTATATGTAACTGTTGTTTGTTGTACATGAATTCAAGGACAACAGTTGACCAGTTTGAGATTTACATGTTGAGCTTGGGGCAAGTGTTGCCGAGTCCTCTATGGCTCCAAAATTTGCTGTGCAGAGTTCCTTCCCTTACGGGTGCCAGAAGCTTATGATCACCAATCCAAATCCCAGGTTCCCATGATAATTGTTTTTGGCTTTTCAGCATCATACCCATGTCTTATTCATTTCACTTGTGGCACACCTTTAAGACCTGCATCAAATATGGCTTTCCTCCCACATCAAGGTGATATGCCATATTATAACTGAAATACAGCATTAAAAAATGTTAAAAACAGCATTAAACTCACTAGTGCTGAATTAAAAGATTATACCCCTGACCAAACTCAGTATACCGGGACATAGAAAAGGCTCTGTATGTCAGACTGTCACGTTTCATCTCTGGAACATAACTCGAAAACATCAGATATATTTTTCTTAAACTGAAAACGCATCAGGGGAACTGGTGCCAATTGCTATTCCTATTCAGGAATTTAAAAGAAAATCCATTTTGCATGTCCAAGGCAACAATTGGACATGGGTTCAAATGAGCATAGAGGTTCCTTACAGGATATACCCCAAAACGGTTAAACCATTCATTATTTCTTGAATGTTGTATGCTCACCAGGTATACATTATGCCACCCAGTGGGGATGCAGGTATGGAATAGGAGCTCGGCAACCAATGCAGGAGATTAAGTGGATCTGATGGTCAGGCTCTGTGAGTTCATAATATCAGTCACTTGTTTGTCTGGACCAGAGACATTTGTTTACAGGCTGCCATCATATAGCTTTAATATTGTTGATCGTTGCACAACAAGCAAGAAAAAATCAAAATGGCTACCACAACAGTTAATTGTTTACTGAAGTCTTTCACCATCCTTTCTCGGAAATCTTTGGACATATCAAATTTCCAAAGGATGTTATTATCCCCAGCCACGAAGTTGAAGGGAGATATAGGAATGGGTGTTGTCTGTCCATCTGGTGTTTCAGATCAGAACTCGGGAAAACCATGAGAGACATCTATACCAAACTTAGAACATAGATAGGTCTGGTGGTGCCTCTTGACAATTTGACATCTTTGAAAATTTCGATTTTCTACGGCAACGAATTTGGCTTAGACATAAAATGGCGGTATTGGCTGGCGATATGAGTATTTCATGCTTGTTGGATGCTGCTTCAGGCAAGCTCGGAGGTTCGCACAGTTAAACAGCGCTTTTAAATTGTCCACACTTCAATGAACCTTTCCAAGCTGACGTTTAATTCTTAAGTAAGGTTTACATTTTGAAAAATTCAAAGATGTTGGCACTTTCTAGAAATGAGGTGTTTTTAATGAGCTGAACAGCAAAGTTTGTCTACCACATGCCCAGTGTACCTGAACTTTATACAAAACCAAATATGACTCAAAAGGTCAAGGTCAAAGTCGTTTTAGCAAGTAACACTGAAATTACTTTGAAACTATTCGAAACTTGTTTTTTATGAGCATGATATGGTTCATTTACAATTTTAGTTAGTACTATAATGGAACCTTGTAACGGGATCGGGTGGTCAGACTCGCTGACTTGTTTGGTGTGTGCCATCGTATCCCAATTGCGTAGTTTGATGCTCATGATGTCAATCACTGGATTGACTCGATTTTTGACAGACCGCCGTCATATAACTGGGATATTGCGGCGTTAAACAACAAACAAACAACAGAAGAAGTCATTACTACCGAAATATGACTTCAGGCTTCCAGACGACCTCAGCTGACGCTACAACTGCCTTTCTACGGTAACTGGGGTATCATTGGGTGTGGACAGCACCCGCAACTCATTCTTACACTTCACCATGAATGCGAAGGTTATACTTTCCCTGCTACTCGGAACATTCTGACCAGCAAAATACACCCCTATATCTACTGACCACATTCTTCACAGGGAAAGTCCAGCATAGCAAGGCTTTCTCAGACTGGAGCCCACGTGACCACGGACAGTTGTAGTGTGTAACCCATGTCCAGGCACCTTGGTCGTCTAGGTAATCCATTCTGGCAGAAGTATATGTTTACACTTATCCATGTCACTGACCATCAAAAGTATATCAATTAAGGTAGTGCTGATTTTAGACTATTGCGTCGAAAAAGATTCTGACTGTACTATAACTTGTTTGGTGTCAAAGAGGGCCTAGTATTTACATGTTTGCACACTGCCATTTCTGTATCATTGACATTTGATACACAGCATGTGTATGGTATGCGAAATAAAAGCTATAAGTATAAAGATCTACACCGAAACGTCGCCACTACATAAATAAAGAAGTTGTTATCAATAGATTGTGTATACTTTGTCATCCGTCAACTTCTAAGAAATGCCCATCAAACATTTCATCTCTGCAACCCCTGGAAATGTTGGGAAGGGGGATTTTGTATTGAGATTAGATATTTTTGAACTACAGTTACAAAATCAGATATATTTTTATTTAAATCTATGAGCCAGATTTTTTGTGTGGCAGGGAATTACATTTTTGTAACAGTCTGAAGCATCACTTCTGTTTTCAAGAATTTTCGGGGACAATTAATTTTTTTCGATAACAGCCTAACAAATTAATTCCTTTGCTTTTTCAACTTTAACCGTTCTCAATTAGGTCAGGGGAAGCATTATGTTTTTCAGACAGATCTTCTGTATTCCAAACTTAATGGAAACAGCTCTGAAAGGACACAACCGCACTGGGAACCCTTTCCACGAGCGGTCTCAGCCCTTTGACGATCGTAACGCCCGTAACGTAAACATGCGTCAATCGTAGCTCTGGAATTTGGCCAGTTTGGTGTCATTGTATTAAGCATTGCATATACATTACTTCTTTCATCATACGCTGTAAATACCACATAGTATAGTCGATAGTGATTTTGCACTCGCAACGTCTAATACACATATACATACATAATTAAATGGAGGCATGGGACTTCTCGGATATGTGAAGCAGTGAAACTAATTCAGATATTTCTGTTATCGCAGTAAATACACCCACAGTCCGGACATTCTCTCTAAGAGTATCTTCACTCAGCCACTGTGATTCAGTTCAAACAAGGAAATCCCAGTCTTAATAGCGTAATGCTTCAAATTTACTTATGATCATTTCTGCACATTGGTCACCTTGGGACCCCATATGAAAATGAAATGTCTTATATGGTAAAGTTGTTCACAAACACTGCCGATGTGAAAAACAAGTTCACTCACTCACTTTAATGGTTTACATAAATATGTAACTGGTGTTCAATTCATCTTCCCGAGGCAAGGGAGTTAACTGACTATAAGAGTCCAGTTTCAACCATTGCAGTACTAAGCTGGAATTATGGAGTTATATTTTGACTGGACTAACGAGTCTGCCTAGTCCAATCAAAATCGCGTTACTAAATCGACATCCGGTTCGTAAACTGCTGGGTAGATTTCGGTCGATTGCAGGATTTGCAATGCATGTGTACCGTGAGCTTAGCGTCAACAGATATTTTCCATATTTTCCATTATTCATGTTTTTCCATTATTCATGTTTTTCCATTTTCATGTTTTTAATCAGGGTGCTCACGTGATTTGATGCGCGAAGTAAGACACGTTTTATTACAATATAGATCTTGATTATCGATCATATCGTCTTGACTGGGCGCCGTCATTTTGTTTGAAGAAACAATTAAAAATTTCAAATTCAAATTTAAAGCGTTGTGTTCTTTACACAAATTATGGTGAAATATCTGGTTATTTTCACCCAATTGAGAGAGGTACAATAGTTTGAAGGGGAACGAAAATGTCTTTCTTGACAGGCACCCAGGTACTATGGCCTGTCTTGATTAGTTGTGCACAAAACAGACTGATCAATGTGTAAAGTCATATATATGGTCTAAAGTAATTACTTTCAAGAATCCGTTATCAATTAATTTATTTGATAACAAAACTACTAATACTCCCACACTACATGCCAACATCTTCTCTTAAGACGCTTGTTCATTCTATCCCTGCCCCCAATCTACATGCCAACATCTATTCTCAAGACTCTGGGGACCCGTGAAGATTCGCGGTAGAATAGGTCTTCAGCAACCCATTCTTGCCGTAAAAGGTGACTATGCTTGTCGTAAGAGGCGACTAACGGGATCGGGTGGTCAGGCTCGCTGACTTTGTTGATGCATGTAATCGATCACTATTGCGTGGATCGATGCTCATGACATAATTCACTTGATTGTCTGGTCCAGACTCGATTATTTACAGACCGCCGTCATATAACTGGAATATTGCTGAGTGCGGCGTTAAACAACAAACCAACCAAGCAACCAACCTTCCCAATATGACTATTGTTTCAAAACACATATTTCATGGTAGTGACTGCTAATTAAACTAGGTGAACTTGGAAACGGAGATCGAAAAGTCAAAATGAGTATAAGACAAAACAGATTCCTTGTACATGTGGGTGTTATTGTTCTCTTAACTGCTGTAATACCCTGATTACTGTTGTTGTATATTGTTTTACTGATATTTCGTACGCTGTAAACCAAATGTCACACGGGATAATAAAGCATTATCTTCTCTTTTCTTATCAAATAATGGGTACAATGTGTGAAGCCCATTTCTGGTGTCCCCCGCCGTGATATTGCTGGAATATTGCTAAAAGCGGCGTAAAACAATACTCACTCACTCACTCACTCTTATCCAATAATCTGTGAACCGTTATAACCCCAGCATACAGCTGAAGAAAGTCGTCAGCCCTATTTCACTCAATAACTGTAACCACCATTATATATCAACACTGATGTGATTGAGTGAGTTGGGTTTAACGTCGCTTTTAACAGTATTCCAGTTATATCACAGCGTGTCAGCTTAATGTGGGAGGAAAGCCCGAACTGATGCAGGTCTCAGACGTTTACCACTTCGGTGAAACCCACGAGCACGGGTATGTTTAAAAACAAAAACGGGGCGAACCGGGATTCGAACCCACAACCATAGGT